TGTTATTATTATTATTATTATTATTATTACAATGGTTATATTCATAACTATAGTTTATAAATTATTTTTTTATCTCACTATTTTTACGATTCACACTCATTATTTTTTTCTTCAACTTTTTAATAAGAATAGAATTTTTTAATATATTAGTTTACATGATAAAACAAAAAAACATCAATATGTTAAATTATATTAACAAAATTATAGATAAAATAGAAAAATTGAATATTTTATTAATCTAAATTTATATAAGATCTCTCACATTTCCCTTTATTATTAAAAATTTGGTCATTTTTCTAATTTTTATAAAAAATTTGTAAGTCAAAATAGTGTAGAGGAAAAGACTAAAATATGAGTAAAACATAAAAAATGTAAAAAAAAAAGTTTTATGTCTTTATTCAAAAAATAGGACTTCATTGAAAATAAAATGTCAATCATGAAAGAAAAATAGGTTTGATTACATTATGTGACATGTGTGATATTTAAAACAAATTATTGTAATATATCAGGTATAATTACAAATATATTATTTATAATAAATACTTCATAAATAAAATGAGGTGTAATATAACCACAAAGACTTTTTAAAATTTAATATTTTTATATTTATGCTAACTTTATACTCCGTATTATAATTAGTTTTTTTGCGAAAGTATTTTTTGTATTTAAAAAATAATAATACTTTTTTTGTATAATAATAATAATAATTTATAACAACAAGAATTTAAAATAAATTTTTAAAAGTTTTTTTAGGTTTTTCAATTTTATGATATTAATTTTTTTAAAGTTTTTGTGGTTACGTTTCACCTCAATTTATTTATGCAGTATTTATTATAAATAATATATTTGTAATTATACTTTATATATTACAATATTTTTTTCAATATTAGACATGTCACATAATGTAATCAAACTTATTTTTTCTTTTAATATTGACACTTTATTTTCATAGACGTCTTATTTTTAGAATAACGACATAGAACATTTTTTTTACAATTTTTATATTCTACTCCTATTTTAGTCTTTTTCTCTAAACTATTTTGATGTACAACATTTTTTTATAAAATTTAGAAAAATGAGCAAATTTGAAGTACTAAAAGGGAAAATTGCACTTTGACCATTAATATCTACTCCCACCGTTCCACAAAACACTTCCGTTTTAATTTTTTGCACATCCCATAAAATACATCTATCCCACCTAAAATGGCTAAAATACCCCTAAAACTTCTACCCGCAATAAACTACATAGTGGGGTATATTTTAGATATTTCATGTGGGAGTAAAAGCGTTTAATAAGGTGCGCAAAAATTTAGGGCGGAAGGGTTTTAAGGAACGGAGGGAGTATATTTATACATAGATATATTTTATAAAAATTTGATATTTGAAAACTACGTTTCATTATGAATATATTGATATTAAATTTACATCATAATACAAAGTGTTTTTTTCACAAATTGTAGTCAAAGTTTATAAGCTTTGACCAAGAAAAGTCAAATGTAAAAAACATTTTCGAACGGAGGGAGTAATTAATTCTAATATGCCTATTTTTGAGGCTTTACAAATGCTCTGTCAACCCTTTCAATTTTTGAAGTATACCAGTTGCAAAGTTTACATAGTACGCGAGGTAACATGAGTAATGAACATGTGTTGCATATTCCCTAGGCCAAAAAATTAATGTTGTCTCTTCAATTTTCCTAATAAATGGGATGGCTTCAACTCCTTTATTTATTTTCATTAGCCATTTGATCAAATAATAAAATTGTGTCATTTTTTGTTTTCCTAAATTTTTAATGTAGTTTTTATTTTTAAATTTTACACATAAAATCAAATAATTTAAATTTAAAAAATAACTTCTACCAAACATTGTGAAATGAAACGAGAATAATGTTTTAGGATGGATGTGGTATAATTTTTATAATCATTCACTTGTTGATTTTATTCATTTTCAAGAACGTGAGTTTTGGTGACAGTTTTAACGATTTTTTAGTAAATTCTGACCATATGGTGATGGAATTTGGATCCGTCGCCTAAACCGTCGTTGATATTGTAGATTACTAACAAGAAGAGCCTGTTTTTCTAAGAACGAATGCAGTCAACAATCAAATACCAACAAATATATATTAAACTATATAATCATGTATAGATCAAAATAAATGATAATGTATCAAATCTAATACTACGTACAAGTGTATTGTACAATTTCATCACAGTTTTGTTAAGTTAAATTCAAATGTTTGGAACTCAAATAAATCAACACGCTCTTGCAAATCCTGCTCTCCTTGTGCCTCCACCAGCAATCTTCATCTTTGGCGGAAAGGCACCTCCATGTGTATGTCTAAATGTCTAATTCTTGGAGAAAATGGGATTCTTCATAATTGGAATGACACAAATTAGCCTACTATACCATTTCTAGTATCCAGATCCATCTTATAGGTGAGGGGAGCATAATAATTTGACTAGAATTACTCTATTTTCTAACTAGAAAATTGAGTGTAACTTGGTTGTAGGCCTGGGGAGTTCAATTGAACTACTATCCATCTTCTGGCAAATGACATCAAACATCCTTCGAGACCTACACTCTCCTTTCAGATCCACACTCCATTTTAATCATATAACACAATGGAAAATTTGGTTTACACTCACATTAATTTCAAACACAACTATATTTTCAAACACAATCTCAAATCATCTAAATCTTGATCCAACAGGGGGGTGAAGAACTGTATTACTTTTTTGAAATCGGCCCACAAGACTTTTTAAAATTTTTACAACCTATTACTTAAATAATATTGGATAATAAATCATCAAAAGAAATTGAATTTAAATATCAAAATTTATATAAAAAAAGATAGAAGAGGAACCTTAAAGATGGAACCCTAGCTCGAAAAGGAGAAATCTGGCGCAGAGAAAATTTTGGATTGTGAGGTGAAGGAGAAAGCGATTTATTCGGATTGAGAGCTATTTCTTCGAATGCAGAGTTTCATGTGCAATTCCTTTGGATTGAGAGCTTCAACGGATACTGACGGAAACGAGATGGTAGAAACGGAAGTGTAGAAAGCTAGAAACTTCTAATTTGCTTAGATACCCCTGGGATTTAATTGCAAAAAAAGATTAATTTGATTATAATTATATGAGGTGGCATATGTGTACACATGTCAATTATTAATTGGCACAAGTAGAAAGTGTTTTAAAACACCCTCTTTAGAAGGTGCACCCAAGGAATCGCCCCGTCACCGTACCTCGGCACTGTCTGGCGGTACCTGGGTACCGTCAGTACGGTACCGTCCGACCGTCTCACATATGTACCGGCAACAACAACGAGCCTGAGGCGGTAGCTGGGTACCGTTTGAACGGTACCAGGTTACCGTCCGGCATCGGGAGTGTACAGATTCAGCAGATTTCTATCCTATTCCAAATCATTTGATACATATAATGTTTTTAAAGATTATAATCATGCAAACCACACAATTTCAAGGTTAGAAAACGTACCTGGCCTTCCTCGTACAACCAATTCCAACAATAACGAATAATATAATTAAATCATAATTTAATTATAAACAAATAAACCACGTAATCAATCATACGAAACTACGAACGTGAATTTCAAATCTATATACATAATCTAGCGTTAGATGTGCAAGTTCTGACGGAATACGAATTAAACAAATCAATAACGGAGGATTACGGAAGGGAACAACGTCAGTCAAAGGCGGTAGCTGGTCACGGTGAGTCGGTGACGGGGTTGTTTCCCGGCAATCTCAACAGCGGCGGTGAACCGGCGTCACAGCGGCGGCGGTACTGCTTCCCCTCCGCTGCCCGGCTCTGTTCTCGTAGTTCCCTGCTCTGTTTTCTTTCCCTGCTTTTGCGTGCGTGCGTAGTGTATATAGAGAGGTGGGGGAAGGATTTCCTAACGTGGGTAGGTTTAGGTTTTCCTTTTTAATAATTCATTATTTTATATTATAAATTCTTTATATTTATTTATTGAACTGTAACATCTATTTTACTCACCACGCTTTACACGTAAATCCAACTTAAACAAACTATATACCGTTGGTCACCATTCTTCGAGACCTATCCGAAAACCCAATTTTCATCTAAAACGGATAACTTTACAAATAATACATATTTTAGAGTAAATAAATATTATATATATTTTTATTAAAATAACGGCTAACTACTAAGCCGGATTTCGGGTCGTTACAAGTTTTCACTATCTAATTATTTTAGAAATATTTTTCATTGTTTTAACATATTTTTATGGATGGATCTGAAGAAGATACAGGGGGTTACTAATAATGCCTGGGTAATCATGGGAGATTTCAACCGTGTCCTAGGGATGGAAGACAGAATTGGAGGAAATCCAGTGGGACAAGATGAGATAAAAGAATTTCAAGAGTGCATGAATTGGTGTGGGTTAGAGGAAATGCCAATGGAGGGTGCCTACTATACCTGGTCTAATAGACAGGGACAGGGCAAAAGAATTTACTCTATGATTGATAGAGCTTTATGTAATCCTGGCTGATTAAGCATAATACAAAACTGATTGTTAAGGAGGAGGGCATATCAGACCACTCACCCCTACTGATTGTACAAGGAAGTAACAGAATTTCCAGAAGCTTCAGATATTGTGACATGTGGGCATTGGACCCACTGTTTCCAGACATAGTTAAAAGGGTATGGGAAAAGGAAATACTGGGGAAACCCATGTACCAAGTGTGCTGCAAGTTGAAGGAATTGAAGGGGCATCTTAAAGGGCTGCATGTGAATAATTTTAGAAGGAATTTTCAGAATGTAGAGGCCATTAGATCCAAGCTGCATATTACTCAAACAGAATTGAAATTAGACCCCATGAATGAGGAGTTACTTAAGGAAGAGAGCAATCTAATCCATAAAATGCAAGAGGCTATGAAGGCATCCCTCTTGATGATGAGCTAGATGTACAAAAAGACTGGATCACTGAAGGGGAATTAAATTCTAAATTGTTCTTCTCCTGGCTAAGGAAAAGAAGACTCCAAAACCAAATACTCAGCATTAGGAACAAAGAAGGCCATCTGGTGGAAGGGGAGGAGAAGGTGGCAACAGTCATGCTGGATTTCTATGAATCACTGCTGGGAACAGAAGTGAACACAAATAACATTAGTAATGATGCCATGGAATATGGAAACAAACTTGATATCTCAAAACAACTTGGTCTGTTGAAAGAGGTCACAAATGAGGAGGTGAAGGGGTGCCTTTTTGCTATTCCTAATAGCAAGAGCCCTGGGCCGGATGGATACAGCAGTGGATTCTTTAAGAAGCAATGGGGAACAGTGGGGGGACTGATCACCAAGGAAGTCTTAGAGTTTTTCTATAAAGGCAAACATTTGAGACAGATCAACACTACAACTTTTACATTGATTCCCAAGATTGAATTTCCTATATGTGTTAAAGATTACAGGCCTATAGCATGATGTAATGTGATTTATAAAGTCATCTCAAAGATCCTATGTAGTAGGCTAAAGGAGATTCTGCCAAATATTGTTAATGAAAACCAAGGTGCCTTCGTGCTGGGCAGGGATTTGGCCCATAATATTTTGTTGTGTCATCAATTAACAAGAGGATACAATAGAAAGGGGATCTCACCTAGGTGCCTAATTAAACTGGACATCATGAAAGCATATGATTCAGTTAGTTGGAATGGTATGATCCAAATCATGGAGCACTTAAACTTTCCTCATCAATTTGTGGCTTGGGTGGAACAATGTATTACTACACCTTTTACTATACAGTTTGATGGGTAATAACCCATGGTTACCGCCCGGTAGGTCCGACTACCTGGGTGGTACCATGAATGACAATTCAGGACCTTTCAACCCGGTCCGTCTGACCGGTCATGATGGGAAGGTCGGCAAGTCAGGCTACAGCTTCCGCTCTCGGAATCTGGCTAAGAGACCAGTCAGAGGACTGACCGGTTGGATAATCAGAGACGTGCTTGACATGCTTAGGGTTATTATAAATACCCCTAAAAGCCTCATTTGTGAGGCATGCTTTTATTAATCCACACGGCCTGTACTGTTGTAATAGTTCCTAATATCATTAATAACAAGCCGGGTTACAGGTGTTTCCACCTACAACCCTTCCGATCGTTTATACTTAGTATTTGCATGGTAAATTACACCATCAAATTGGCGGCATCCGTGGGACCTTTTACAAAAAGTCATGGGAAGTAACCAGGAAACCGTTATCTCACAAATCTCTACTCCCGCTGAGAACGTCACCTCGTTCCCAGGAGGGAGTACTCAACCATCAGCCCAGATTCCTACCCCCATTCTCACCATTCCGCCATCTACCTTATTCACTTCCCCTACTACTTCTATCCCTATTTTCCCTCAAAATTTCCCCGGGCCCCTGGATCCGATGTATTCCCAAGCTTTTCAAAATTTTGGGCAATTCATGTCTATGTTTCAGCAACCGGGGGATTTTCAGCTTTCATTCCCGGGTTATACCCACAATCTTTGCCACAAACAAGTATCATTCGCCCAGTCATCCCGACAAATCTAATCGGGGAAATGGACAAAGTTGGTCCATCCCGATCTAAAAGAAGCTGGTCCCGAAGATCGCAGACAAAAGTGACCTCGAATGGGGATGTGCGCTCGGTCCATAGCAAAGACGAGGACTGGGACGTTCCCCAGGCACTCAAGAAGTTGAAGGGAAAAGCTGTCCAGCCTGAGGGATCCAGGAGGTCAGCGTTTCAAAGGCTTGGGCACGATGGCCGAAATCAAAACCGGTCAGCAAAAGAGCGACTGAGAGTGGAAACAATCCCAGCTAGCGCTTTTAATCGTCTGGAGAGAGGGGCCGGGCGACCTGGTCAGACCAGGCGAACGGAACCACCCCCACACGATGAACCCCAGAACAGCCGAGCGCCCCATGGAGAAGAAGAAGCGGAAAGCCACCCAAGGCACACGATCCGCTCCCATGTTGAACAACCCCAGGACCGCGTAGGTTGGGTGGAAGCACGTTTGGAGAAGCTGCAGCGCCGGGTGGACCGGGACGAAAAAAAGAAAGTCTTGTTGAACGAATCTCCGTTCACAGACCGGGTTCATGAGACCCTATTTCCAAAGAAGGCAAAGCTTGAGTGGTTTCACAACCTCCCGGCCGGAGAAATAGATTCGTTCGATGAACTGGCCGAGGTGTTCCAGGAGAAGTTTAAGGAAAACTACACCAAGAAGAAGAAATTCACCTATTTGAGTACGGCCGGGCAGAGGGAACACGAGGACCTAACCAAGTTCCTCACCCGATGGAAGGATGAGGTGGATAAAGTGGAAGAAATAGACGACAAAACCGCCATGTCGCTCTTGGTGTCCGGGCTCCGGTCCGGAGAATTGTACAAAGAATTCTACCGAAGGCCCCCCAGTCATACCAGGAAGCCTACAACATAGCCTGGGATTACGCTGACGTTGAAGCGCAGGTGTCATCCAAGAGAGAGGCCGAGCAAGGTCATTCCAAAGGGAGGGTTTCCTTGAAAAAGGAAATCGAACTGCCCGCCAGGGTAAAAACGGAAGTAATGGAGGTGAAGCCGATCAAGTCAGAAAAGAAACCAGCCGGGGAGAAGCAATGGACAAAAAAGTATTGCTTCTTCCATAAATCTGACTCCCATAACACCGCTGAGTGCAATAGTGTTAAGGGAGTGATCAAGCAGATGATCGTGGCCGGAGAGCTTGACCCAGAGTATGTAGCTCAGGCCAATCAAAAGAAAAACCAATGGATCAGGCTCGAAGGACAGCCGGCCGAGCAGAATAAAAAGAAGAAAGCGGCCGGTAAGGAGCACTTGCAGGTCATCTATGGTGGACCAGAAGGGGGAGAATCCGCATCTCAAAGGAAGAAGGACGGGAACTCTACGTTGGCACGGTTGCCCTAGATCCCCGAAGGAAACAAACCAGAAGGGAGCCAATCACGTTCACAGACCGAGACCTTTGACAACTGTAGTTTTTCGGGTGGTAAACCTTCCCAGTAAAGGGTTAGTCTTCTCTCCAAGTGTCGTATCTCTCGAGGAGTGGACGAAGGGAATTAGTCTAATTAATCTAAGTAGGCGAAGATTAGGATTGGTTTATGAAAGTCTTCTCGAAACGATTATAAAAAGGGAGCAGAGTAAAAATAATAAATAAAGGTCACATAATACAAGTATAGATCTGGACCTAGGGTCTGGACATCATTTGGATCTATTTTATCATATTAAATTAACAGTTGGAATAATAATATTTCTATTACTACTCATCCATTTCTAGATTTGTACTTAATCCGTTGCACTTGAATATCATAGCCTTTTGGCATACAATATTTTCTCAATAAATTGCTAATTAAATCTTCCGAAATTAATTAACTAAATAAGGCAAGAACAATAGATTAACCATTCCAACATTAATTTAACATCAAAAATAAACAACCAAACTAGTCCGGACCCAGAGATCCGAACCCTAACTCATACTATGCAAACATAAAATTAAAACAGCATTTTATTAAATAAAGAAAACTTACTACTTCTGTAAAAGCGGAACAGAACAGATCGGGAGTCAAATCCTCCGGAAAATACTTAAAAATAATAACTAAACTAATCTACAATGAAATATTGAGCAATTTGAAGGGGAAACCCGAAATGGGTTGTGAGATGGTGTGGAATGAGTGAGGATCGCGTGGTATTTATAAGGCAGAAAGTACGGGCGTCCAACCCCCTGGGCGTCCAACTTTGGACGTGACGCCCGTCCCCTAACCACGTGTTCCGTCCAGTCGCGTTGTGCCGCGTGGCAAAGCCGTGTCACCAGGTAGCTTGGGCATCCAACTTCTTCGGGCGTCCAACCTTGGACGCCCAGGATCCGAATCCTAAGCCCAATTCGCCTCCAATCGTGATTCCTTGCAAATTTAGGCCCGAAATTGTTCCGTATTCACCCAATATGCTCCCGGACACTAATTTCTACCTCCGAAGTATTATGATCTTTAAAATCTAAAACTTTTTATCCAATTTGTACATAAAATTGACAAATCCACTTAATTTAATTTGGAACCCATATTTTATTCTTCTTGAGACAAAACATAAGTTTTGTTACTAGTAGACACTTTCAATGGGTAAATTTATTACTATTTTCGTGCAATAACGCTTAAAATATGTAGAATAAAATTAGAACAAAATGAACTTATCAAATTCCTCACACTTAAACGTTGCTTGCCCTCAAGCAATAAATTTAATAAGTTAAGTATGAAAACAAATTAGTAATCACAGAAGAAAAGTTTAAGTTACACAACTTGAAGGAAAGGAAGGATAAGATGGTCATCAACGTTTTTATGTGAACAAATAAATTTATAGATTCTCACCAATATTGCTAGAAATTTTAAAATATTTTGTCAAACCAGTTTTCTTACCCAATTAAATCAAACTAAACTCTAAATTTTCATTGGGATAATCATATTTCTAAGGATTATTTTACAATCAAAAAGAGTTTAAAAGCTCTAATAAAAATGGATTTCCAAAAAGGTTTTCGTCAAACAATAAGGGCCTATTTATTTTATTAAGCATTATTTATCACGAGAAAATTCTTGAAATGCCAAGGCATATTGCATTACTGAGATTGTGGATTTATTCTATGACAAATGCATACTTGCTCCCTCGCCTTATGCGATTAGCGGGAGAAGCAGAGCCCCTTTACGGAGATAGAATTTCCAATTCGTCACTTAAGCACAATCCCAATAAAATTTAAACCATTAGAATTTTTTTTATATATAGACCCTTATAATTAGAAAAAAAAACCTTTATGAGAAATGACATTTTTAAAGAGGCTATTTAAAACTTGATTGATCTAAAAAAAACTTAGAAAATACTAATGTATCCCAAATGATTTTAGAAATCGTTTGAAAAAAAATTAGGGAAAAAGAATAAAAGTTGACAAAAAATTTAAAAATTCCCAGTTTTTATGGGTGATAACTAAAAATTTAATTATTTAAACAAAAGAGTTGATGACCATACTTATAAAATCTTTACCCACAAATATGCAAAACAAACAATTCTAACCCGGAATATTTCAACCAATAATTCACACCCTCCTCACACTTGAACGGAACCACGCCCTCGCGGCAAAAAAAGTGTTTCAGAGTAGAATTTTTGGCTGAAATATCAAGGATATGATGACTAAGATGATTGCATATGTAACATATTCAAAATGATGATTGAAATTGTAAATAAGCATAACCATAAAAGTGTACTAGAAGAAGTCAAACAGGAATCCAAATAAACCAGTCAAGTCATCAATTCCAGCTCAAACAAGATAAAAAGTTCTGGAGAAAGTAGGAGATCACTACGGAGGCCGGGAGGTGGAGGGATCGTCATCTCTGGGCTGCTGCTGATGCGGAGGGAGGTTTGTCGGGTTTTCAAAACCCAATGCCTCACGTATCCTATCTAAACCATGCACCTGCTACTAGAGTGCCGCAACGGACTGCATAAGTGTGTTCTGGTTGTGCAAGAGCTGCTGGGCCCATGCCGGTGCTACCTCCATCTGAACACGAGCCAACTGTGCTCTGGTGGGTCGTCGACGAGGAAGGCGCTGAGACGATCTCTCTGACTGACCGGAGGACTCTCCAATCTCATGTGAAGTGCAGCCAGTAGAGGCCGTAGTGCTCTCATAAGAGCTAGGAAAGAGTCTCCTGTGGATGTGAGCATTCCGGAGCATGCCGACATCTAAATCCCTCATCAACTGCACATGCCGTGGGATGGGTGCATTCCCCTTGAGGGAGAGAAAGAGCAGTGTAATCACGAACCCACAGACCAAGTGCGTCCTACACCCGTAGGACTAGGAGTATAAGAATCTGGCCAGGTACACCGCCACGTTTACTGGCTGGCGGTCGTGCAAGCTCTAGAAAACAAACATATCCTCCTCGTAGAGTGTTCGACGGCCTCCCAAAGAAGGACGTCGAAAGAACAAAAGATAGGATCCTCCAGCTGGGCCGAATCCAGTAGCGCGCCTTACTCTTCTTGTTGATGAACTCCTTGTCATCAGATGAGTGCTCCCTCTAGAAAGATACCGCGTCAAAATCTGCGGGAAGACAAAAGGGATTGTCGTAGAACTCACGTTGCTTGGTCTCTTCCTGGGTGTAGAGCTCGAGACGAACGGCCATCTCTCTCACTGTCAACAAGAATGACTGGCCCGCAAGAGTGAAGGCAAATGTAGTATCAGCAGTGATCAAGGTATGAGTCATCTGTCGTGACTCAATCTCCGGGACAGTAGATATCGTGCATAAGAACTCGATGGTCAGTGGTAGGCTAGACTCTGCCCTCATCTGAAGCAGGCGCTGCCATCTGGTCCCCTCAAGCAGCTCCTCCATCTCCTCCGCATAGCCATAGTCCGTCAGTGTGTCCTGAGCCAGACACACAGACTCGTGTAACACCCGGGAGTGTCCCCACTCATCGAACCTCGTCCTAGAAGCAGCATCAATCAATTGGACCTAATTACAGTCCACAGTAGGGTAAGAAAGACGATGAGGCATCTGCACACACATAAACAAACACATAAAATCTTGCCCCCAAAACTGGTGCGGCAAGTAGAAACTCAAGAATAACAAATAAAATTATTGAATTTATTTAAATATTTTAGTTATTTGAATGACGGGTTACCTCCCGTTAAGCACTTCTTTAACGTCCGTAGCTTGACGCTCACCCACTTTTTCCGTGACTTTCCGATCCGGGAGTCATAAAGTTTGGCCCTTCTTACTCTTTTCTGATGCCACCCTGTTTGATTTGTTGCTCGGTCACGGTCCAGGATCCTTGACTCCTCCCTGCGCGGCATGGTGGCAACAGGATATATGGAGGAGACTTGGTATAGGTGGGTGGTGGCGGAAGTCTCCTCAGTAGATCCACATCGTTAGCCTTGATTGTGAAATTGATTTCTTCCTTATCTTCAATAGGCTGACTATCCATTCGAGGTTTGATGATTATGATCGTACCCTCCCCCAAGGAAGAGTCTTCAGTGTCACTTACCAGAAGTTCGTCCCAACTCTTTTGGCTCCAACTATCCTTCGGGCAGACAAAGTCACACCCGTCAAGTAGGGAGTCAAAGAAAGTTTGGTCCAAGTCTTCTGATGAAGCTTGATTATCTATAGACGTTATTTGTTCCTCTGTGCTAGGTATTTCTTCGTCTATAGATTCCTCCTCAGACTCTTGAATGTTGGAATCTTGGGGGTAGGTAGTGGGCTCTATCTCCTCCAGAACAGGTTCCTCTGGAGGTGTGTCTTCAACACAATTAAGGAGATGGTCGTTTATTGCCATAGGCAAAACTTCCTCCTTCTGTTCTTGAATAAGCATAGGTGGTTCTGAGTCAGGTCCCTCAGTTGGTTCCACCTTTTGTACGACTATGCTGGTTGGGACTTGGCTAGAAAGGTATTCGGGTAACATCACCACAGTAGCCCCAGCAAGAGTTGTTATGCTCTCGGGTTTCTGTGATGGTGTAGAACTTGGTGAATCTTCTGGAACTGGCACCTGATGGTTGGATGGTTCAGGGTTGGTCTTAGGTTCTAGAGCCTCTTTTTGAGCATTAACTTTCTCCAATTGTGGATCTTGAGGTTGGAGGGAGCGTTTAAGCTCAATAGCCTTACATAGATCATTGACTAATTTATCAGCTTTAGCCTCAGCTTCTAGTCTCTCTCTTTGGAAGTCATCCAGCATTTTCTGCATCCTTTCTGATTCTTCGCGTAATCTCCTCTCGAACTCCTTTTCTTTCCGGACCGATTCAAGAAGTTTTGCTCTTTCTCGAATTGCCACCTTGTTTGCCTCAATTTGTTCTTCCGCAAACAAAGTGTAGTCATGGGAGTAAGGTGGTTCGCACCAGGAGCCTTCAGCGAATAAAACCTCATCGAAATAGAAGATTTTCTGTTCTAATCTTATGATCTCTTCGACGAGTGGATCAGATTGATCGTCGCACATAGGACCATATTGGTCATAGTCATCGTTATCTCCATGAGGCTCATAATAATTATCCCCATCAGAATCTTGGTATGGAGAATATCCAAAGTTTCTAGACGGGGTATCACATGGTGGTTCCTCATGGTAAGGATAGTAGTCAGACCCATGGTCGACTTGGTAGTCATCATCATATGGGTTCTGATGTGGGTGATAGGTTTCGTGGGTTTGGTACGGAGGGCGGTTGGGTGATTGGTAGAAAGAAGGCGGACCGTAATAACCACTGGAGTTATCCATAATAATTATTACGGGTAGTTGGTGAAAAAGAAGTGAGAAGATCGTTCTAACCAATCTTCACCCAAGCTAATCAAAAGAAATTAAACTAATGTCGTGCCACTCCCCGGAACCAGCGCCATTTGACAGCTGTAGTTTTTCGGGTAGTAAACCTTCCCAGTAAAGGGTTAGTCTTCTCTCCGAGTGTCGTATCTCCCGAGGAGTGGACGAAGGGAATTAGTCTAATTAATCTAAGTAGGCGAAGATTAGGATTGGTTTATGAAAGTCTTCTCGAAAGGATTATAAAAAGGGAGCAGAGTAAAAATAATAAATAAAGGTCACATAGTACAAGTATAGATCTGGACCTAGGGTCTAGACATCATTTGGATCTATTTTATCATATTAAATTAACAGTTGGAATAATAATATTTCTATTACTACTCATCCATTTCTAGATTTGTACTTAATCCGTTGCACTTGAATATCATAGCCTTTTGGCATACAATATTTTCTCAATAAATTGCTAATTAAATCTTCCGAAATTAATTAACTAAATAAGGCAAGAACAATAAATTAACCATTCCAACATTAATTTAACATAAAAAATAAACAACCAAACTAGTCCGGACCCAGAGATCCGAACCCTAACTCATACTATGCAAACATAAATTAAAACAGCATTTTATTAAATAAAGAAAACTTACTACTTCCGTAAAAGCGGAACAGAACAGATCGGGAGTCAAATCCTCCAGAAAATACTTAAAAATAATAACTAAACTAATCTACAATGAAATATTGAGCAATTTGAAGGGGAAACCCGAAATGGGTTGTGAGATGGTGTGGAATGAGTGAGGATCGCGTGGTATTTATAAGGCAGAAAGTACGGGCGTCCAACCCCCTGGGCGTCCAACTTTGGACGCCCGTCCCCTAACCACGTGTTCCGTCCAGTCGCGTTGTGCCGCGTGGCAAAGCCGTGTCACCAGGTAGCTTGGGCGTCCAACTTCTTCGGGCGTCCAACCTTGGAGGCCCAGGATCCGAATCCTAAGCCCAATTCACCTCCAATCGTGATTCCTTGCAAATTTGGGCCCGAAATTGTTCCGTATTCACCCAATATGCTCCCGGACACTAATTTCTACCTCCGAAGTATTATGATCTTTAAAATCTAAAACTTTTTTATCCAATTTGTACATAAAATTGACAAATCCACTTAATTTAATTTGGAACCCATATTTTATTCTTTTTGAGACAAAACATAAGTTTTGTTACTAGTAGACACTTTCAATGGGTAAATTTATTACTATTTTCGTGCAATAACGCTTAAAATATGTAGAATAAAATAAGAACAAAATGAACTTATCAACCTTCCCGCTACCGGCGGAGATCACAATGACCCCTTGGTCATAACTATGGACATGGGTGGAGTCGATGTCTCCCGGGTACTTGTTGACACGGGCAGTAGTGTCAACGTTTTGTACTTGGATGCATTTGAGAAGCTCAAGTTGTGTCGAACACGGCTTTAGCCCTTAAAGACTCCCTTGTCCGGGTTCACCAGGGACTCTATTGAGGCTGAAGGCCATGGGTCGACCTTTTAACTTGTGAATTGGGCACGGGGGACAAGGTCGTGTAGAAACAGATGAGGTTTGTGGTAGTGAACATCAAATGTGTTCACAATGCCATTTTGGGCCGGATTGGAATAAACAAGGTCCATGGGATCATTTCCATGCCCTATCTCTATATGAAGTTTTATACCCCGGGTGGTATAGGGCAGGTCAAAGGAGATCAAAAGAAGGCCCGGTCTTGTTACCTGGAAGCTGTGAAGAAGATGACCAAGGCCTTTGAAAGGGTTACCTTGGTTTCCCAAGAAGAAGAGCGGTCAAAGCTGGAACCGGGTGATGAGACCGAGCAGATTGTTCTCCGGGAAGCATTCCTGGAAAGAATTGTGAAGATAAGCCGAGACTTGCCTGGAGGGCTTCGAGAGGAAGTCATCTCAGTCCTCCGGGAATTTGCTGACATATTCGCCTGGAGTGTGGCGGATATGCCGGGCATCGACCGGTCCGTTATCTGCCATCAGTTGGCCGTAATCGAAGGCAGCCGACTGGTAAAACAAAAGAAGTGGCACTTGGAAAATATCCGAAGGGACTTTGTCAAGAAAGAAGTGAAGGATTTGCTGGCGGTCGGGCACATTAGAGAAGTGCAATACCCGGCTTGGTTGGCAAACATCGTCGTGGCACCAAAGGGCGACACCTGGCGCATGTGCGTCGATTATACAGATCTAAACAAGGCTTGCCCCATGGATTCATACCCATTGCCCAGTCCCGATCAGATGGTCGATGAGACGGCTGGGTGTGAGTTGCTGAGCTTCATGGATGCCTTCAAAGGCTATCATCAAATCTTTATGGCCAAGGAAGACGAGGAGAAGACTTCTTTCTTAACACCTGAAGGCACCTATTGTTACCGGGTGATGGCTTTTGGACTTAAGAACTCAGGTGCCACTTACCAGAGGATGGTAAACCGGCTTTTCAAGCCAGTCCTCGGTAAGTCCATGGAAGCCTATGTAGATGACATGCTAATCAAGAGCCCGGAAGCAGTAAACCACCCGGCTGACATGAGGCTTTGCTTCGAGATTATGGCTAAGTACAACTTGCGCCTCAACCCCAAGAAATGCGTCTTTGTTGTAAAGACCGGCAAGTTCTTGGGGTTCATGGTGACCAAGCGTGGTATTGAGCCTAATCCTGAGAAGATTAAAGCTATAACTGAGATGAGGTCGCCCGATTCCCTGAAGGACGTGCAACGACTTACCGGGCGGCTGGCAGCTTTGAGCCGTTTTCTTTCCCCCTCAGCCGAAAGAGCCTTGCCTTTCTTCAAAGTATTGAAGATGGCCAGCACATTTGAATGGGATTGGGAGTGTGAGGAGGCTTTCCAGCAGCTCAAGGAGCACTTAGTTTCGGATATAGTTTTGCCTAAACCCAAACTGGGTGAAACTTTGTATTTGTATCTGGGCATATCCCAAAACGCTGTAAGCTCTTTTGTGATTAGAAATGAAGATGGCTAGAGGCCTATCTACTATGTGAGCAAGGCACTTAATGGGGCAGAAAGCCGGTACCCTGCCATAGAGAAAACAGCATATGCACTTTTCATAACGGCCAAAAAACTGACCGCATACTTCCAAGCCCACGCGGTGGAAGTATTGACCGATCAGCCACATGGACCGGTTCTCCAAAATTCAACTTCCTCGGGACGACTAATTAAGTGGGCAATGATGCTCACTCAGTTCAAGATTGAGTATAAACCAAGGACTGCAATCAAGGGTCAAGCTCTGACTGACTTGCTTGTTGAACTGACCGGTCTGGAGCCTGAACTTACCAACAATGAAGCGGAGTATGAAGCACTAGCCAGTGGCCTGAGATTAGCCCGGGCATGTAACACCCCGGCCCCCACCCCGGCCGTAAGTGTCCGCTCATAGGATTGTAGACTGGCCCCACAAACCAACACACGTCTTTCCCGCGCACTTTGTTCTCACTCGTGCGCGCCCAAGGAATTTCCCAGGGGGTCACCCATCCTAAAATTGCTCCAGGTTAAGAACGCTTAACTTTGGAGTTTCTAGGTGATGAGCTCTCGAAAAGAAGATGCACCTTGTTGGTATGAGTAGTACTATCAATCCTTTTGAGCTCTTCCCATTCCCATCTTAATACGGGGTATTACATTTACTCCCACTTAGGAATGCAACGTCCTCGTTGCATCCTTTTTTTTGAACCCATAGATCTTCCCCGCTAGGTGAACTAAGCTCTCTTGGCCCGTCACGGTCGCAGGGTTGCTCTGATACCATTTGTAACACCCCGGCCCCCACCCTGGCCGTAAGTGTCCGCTCATAGGATTGTAGACTGGCCCCACAAACCAACACACGTCTTTCCCGCGCACTTTGTCCTCACTCGTGAGCGCCTAAGGAATTCCCAGAGGTCACCCATCCTAAAATTGCTCCAGGTCAAGCACGCTTAACTTTGGAGTTTCTAAGTGATGAGCTCTCGAAAAGAAGATGCACCTTGTTGGTATGAGTAGTACTATCAATCCTTTTGAGCTCTTCCCATTCCGTTCTTAATACGGGGTATTACAGGGCACTTGAGATAAAGAGGATGAAAATCCGTTCTGATTCAAGTCTGGTCGTTGGACAGGTCAAGGGTGAGATGGAAGTCAAAGAAGAACGTCTGGCTCGATATAGTGACCTGGTCCGAGCACTTCTGAGGGAGTTAGAGGAGTTTCGTCTGACCAGGATACCCCGGTCAAAAAACACTGATGCTGACATGCTTTCCAAGTTAATGCAAGCTTGCCCAGAGCATGTCTCAAAGTTGGCCAAAATCGAAATATTGGACCAACCTAGCTAGTGCTGACTGGTTTGAAGTCGCAGCTATCCAACCAGGCTAGAGTTCAGCGATTGGGATAATTGAAGCGGATGATGACTGGAGGTACGATCTCATGGAGTATTTGGAGACCGGTCTGAAACCAGATGACGAAGAACGGGTCAGGAAAGTAGTCCTTCGGGCTCCTCGGTTTCAGGTACTAGACGGTCACCTATACAAACGTGCTATTGGCGGACCTCTCCTACGGTGTCTTACCAACCCGGAGGCTGAGCGGGTAATAGCTGAGGTACATGAGGGAGTTTGTGCAGCCCATCAAATGTCCCGTACATTGGCTCAACTGATAATATTGTTCGGCTACTACTGGCTGACCATTGTTGGGGATTGTGAGCGGTATGTCCAAAAATGTAGGACATGTCAAGTTTTTTACAAACATCCCAGCAGACCGGCCACATATTACCAACCAACCTCTAATGTCATACCATTTGCCCGGTTTGGGATTGACATTATTGGGGCTTTCCCGATCGCCCAAGGTGGGAAGAAGTTCGTAATGGTCGCTATTGATTACTTCACCAAATGGATTGAGGCTGAAGCGATGGCAACCATAACCGTACAACAATGTGAGAAATTCGTTTGGAAGAACATCGTTACCCGGTTTGGAGCTCCAAAAATGATTGTCACCGACAACGGCCCACAGTTTCACAATCCCCGGTTCACTGCGTATTTGGCTAGCTTTGGAATCAAACATAGCAAGGCGTCAGTAGCATATCCACAAGGAAATGGCCAAGTCGAAAACGCAAACCGGACGATAGTGGACGGGCTAAAGAAGAGGTTAGGTGAAGAAGGACACAAGTGGTTGGAAGCATTGCCTCACACGGTCTGGGCGCATAGAGTGACTTCAAGAAGGGCAACCGGGGAGACTCCTTTTGTGCTCACTTATGGATGTGAAGCCCGGTTGCCAGTGTGGGCAGAAATTCCAACATTTAGAGAGACCGTATACCAGCCCGGTCAGAACGAGGTTGACCACCTAGCTGAATTGAATCTGGTGGAAGAACGAAGGACCATAGTAGCTGTCAAGATGGCCGGTTACCAACAGTCAGTAAAGAGATATCATGACAACCGGGTGGGCCCACGGTACTTCCAAGTGCATGATGAGGTCTTACGCAGAAGGGATGCCAGTAAACCTAATGAGAGAGGCAAGCTAACACGTAACTTGGAAGGACCCTATCGCGTAAGGGCAATCATCAGGCCGGGCACTTACCAGCTGGAGACCATGGAAGGTGGCCGAGTTGACCGGCATTGGAACTCTCATCATTTGCGAAAGTTTTTTAGATAAGTGTAATAAGTTACCGACTATGAATAAAGCTTTATCTTTTCGGAAGGATTCTTCTTAATGTCAAACCGGGAGTAGTTGGTTGTATACTGAACTGACTGGCTAGATGTTCAATCGAATTGGACATCTCAAAAAAAAAGAGAGACCGGTCGAACCGATCATACTCTTCATTCGTACTAACACGGGGGTCAAACGACGTAACTAAAGGGAGAGCATCCCGATTAGTTAGGTCAGATGGCTGAAGAAAAATATAAGGCTTACCTTTCACAAGGGCAGTGAGCCGTTGTGAAGTACGGGCCGGCTAAAAGTGCGCCCGGGCAAAAGGCTAACCTTTTGAAAAGAACAAGTCAAAATGCCATCGCAGGCTTACAAACTGGCATGGAAGAGCTTAATCGGACTTATTCTCTTCCCGGTCGCCCATCCAGTCTTTCGGAAGAACTGGGTTAAAACTGTATATTTGACCGAGTAATTGTTGCCCGGCTGCTACTTACTAATTTGCACGGTTAACATTTTTACGTTGGAAAGAATAAACATTTCAAGCACTCAGCACACGATATGAAGACAGAAGCTAGCATTAATATTGTAAAAGTCTTACAAAAAAGTGCCCGGTGGCATATCATTACATCCAAAAACAAAAAATTACAAGAGAAGAAGGCCGGGAAATCAGATCCCGGGGAAAGGCAGAACCGGTGCCTCGTCGTGAAGCTCGGGCAGAGAGAGAGCCTTGGGCTGAAATCCTTTGATTCGCTGCTCGAGGATACCGTAGAGTGCCCGACGCTCATCGTACTGACCGCTATCGAAGCCAAAGGTTCCAATCTCATCCACAATCCCGGCCGAGATTTTGTGCTTGTATAGACCTTGGAAGAAGCGGATGGCTCTCTCCCGGTCAGGCAGAGCTCGAGCAGCGAAATCTTCCGGCTCTTGAGTGGCCCAGGTAGCAGCAAGGGCAGCTCGCTCTACACGCTCCTTTGCCAGCTCATCCTCAAGCTGGGCTATCTCTTCAGCCGACCGGGCGTTCTCAGCCTCAAGTCGTTGGATCTTCTCTTGAGCTTGCTCGTCGGCCTCCTTTCCAGCCTTCATCAATCCTTCATGCTTAGCATAAAGCTTGCGGTAGGCCGCGCAATGCTCGACCAGCTTCTCCTCCGACTTCTCCGCCTTCTCAAAGGTAGCCTTGGCCTCCTTCCGGCACTCTACCAGCATGGCCTCCATCCGTGGACTTCACCAGCTGGGTGAACCACTCGTGGCCAATCCGGCCGACCTGATTTAGATGGATGGAATTTTTCAGAATTTATCCCAAAAAGGACTTAATCACAGAGAAGAAAAGAAGATAACCTCATGTAGGTCGGTGCAGAAAGCTTGAAAAAGCTCCTCGTCCGACCGGGACATTAGAGCCATAAACAGGGGCTGGCTTTGCCCTTTGCCGACATCGGAGGACTGGGCCACATGATGGGCCGGCTGGTTGACAACCTCAGTCTTCCGCCTCTTCCGCTAAAGGGACTCCTCAGCGGCCTCCTCTTCCCCATGGCCTTCCTCGTTTTCTTCGCCGCCATGGCCGGCTTCTTAGGTATGGCCGGTCTCCGCCAGCATGTTGTCAAACTCCAGGGTATCTACATTTATGTAGAGTACCCCGGAGTGAATTGGTTGGCTGGTCCCCTGGTGGGACTGTGCCGGCTGCTCAGTCAGAGAGAATGGTTGGGTGGACGGTTGGCTGAGGGGTTGAGCAGTGGAGGGCTCCTCAATGACAATCTTGGGAGTGGCGAACTTATATTGAAACTTCACCACTAAAACAAGCAGAAAGAGACCGGTTAGTAAAAAAGAGATGCAAAAGTTTAAAATAAAAGTTGAGAAGGGCGGTGGGGGTTTGAACCTTTCTCCTTCTTCTTCTTCCCCAGATGCGAGGGACCGACGGTGGTAGAGACCGGAGCCTTGGACCTTTCACCTAGCGGAGGGGGATGGCATGAGGGATTGCCTCGACCAAGACGATCTCCGGCTCGAGATCAGTCTCCCGGCCGGGATAGACGCTCCACTTCCCCACGTTGTAAAGGCCACCGGTGGAGGCGTCTCCGGCCCGGAGAGTGGCTTCCCAAGCAACCAGGTCGTCGGTCTCCACGGGTTTGACCTGACGCTTCATTCTTTTCCCCCAGGCATTTTGGGTAAAAGGGAAAGCATCCGGGGGGAATTTGATGGACACATATTTGTCCTTCCACTTCTTATTAGAATGAGGAAGGCCACAGAGAAATGCCCGGCCTTCGGTGGGGAAGTAGCCGGGTGCTCAGAAGAAGAGGATGAAGAAGAAGAGGAACCGGAAGTCTGAGACCGGTCACCAGAACCGTAAGAATGGACGGAAGGGTTCTAACTATCTTCACGGTCAGACATGACTCAAGAAAAAGGAGAGAGAAGGAAGCTTACTTGGAACAAGAGGACTCGGAGGACTCGTGAAATAGTAGAAGCAGCCACGCAGATTTTTAGTTGGAGATTTTCAAGTGAGAAAATTCAAAGGGAACCTCACTTTATATGGGGAAGATGCCGGCCAACCAAACGAATGGCAGAGCGACACGTGGCAGCGAAAATGATGCGTAATCATAACTTCTCGGGGACACGAAACAACACAGCAAATCGGCGGCTCCGTACTGGATTTCAAAAGAGATTCTCCTGCCTTTGACAGCCGGGTTTTCAAAAATTCAAAATTCAAATATTTTTGGGTTGGCGTTGGTTTGCTGAGACGATTTTCCCGCCAAAAATCGACTGGACAGTTCAAATCTCAAAGGACGGTCGCATGTGCTTCCCGCCCCTGATGGTTCCCATAGGGTCGGGAATCGGAGGACTCCTTGATGGGTAATAACCCATTGTTACCGCCCGGTAGGTCCGACTACCTGGGTGGTACCAGGAATGACAACTCAGGACCTTTCAACCCGGTCCGTCTGACCGGTCAGGATGGGAAGGTCGGCAAGTCAGGCTATTGCTTCCGCTCTCGGAATCTAGCTAAGAGACCGGTCAGAGTACTAACCGGTTGGATAATCAGAGACGTGCTTGACATGCTTAGGATTATTATAAATATCCCTAAAAGCCTCATTTGTGAGGCATGCTTTTATTAATCCACACGGCCTGTACTGTTGTAATAGTTCCTAATATCATTAATAACAAGCCGGGATACAGGTGTTTCCACCTACAACCCTTCCGATCATTTAAACTTAGTATTTGCGTGGTAATTTACACCATCACAGTTGAATGGAGAAGTACATGGTTTTTTCAAAGGGAAAAGGGGGCTAAGGCAAGGGGATCCTATATCTCTCTTGTGTTTTTTCTTGTGATGGAATACCTAAGTCGCTTACTGCAGCAAATGACTTAGAAGAAAGAGTTCAAATTCCACCCAATGTGCAAATCCCTTAATATTACTAGTTTATGATTTACAGATGACCTCATACTGGTGTGTAAAGCTGAAGAAGGATCCCTTAATTGCATCATGGAGGTGCTGGAGGTGCTGAACAGATTCCAAGAAACGACAGGTCTGAGTATGAATGCAGCTAAGTCACAGATAAATTTTGGAGGAGTTAACAGGATGACACATGAGAGACTGCTGCAAATCTCTAAACTACAGCTGGGTGCTTTGCCTTTTAGGTATTTGGGAAGCCCCATAACCGCTTCCAGAATCAGTAGCAAAGACTGTGATAGACTAGTGGCCAATAGAACTGGAAAAATCACCTCCTTGGCATCTAAACATATGTCCTATGCTGGCAGAAGTAGGGTCATTGGGAGTGTGCTCTATGGTATAATGACCTTCTGGTGCAAATTATTTATTATCCCAACAAAGCTTATGAGGAAGGTACAGAGTATTTGCAAGAGTATTTGCAGAAACTTCCTATGGGGAGCTACTGCCAATTTTGAAAAAAGGCCCTTGGTAAACTGGGAAGAGGTTTGTATGCCAAATGCTGCTGAAGGATTGGGCATAAGAAATATGGTTCTCTGGAATAAGGCTTATGTATATAACTACTGGTGGGATATTTACAAAGACAAAAATAGCCTTTGGGTTAAATGGATACATGGAAGGTATATTAAGGGGGAGGTGAATAACTATGAGATAAGGGGGGACAGCTGCTTCTATTGGAAGAAAATAGTGCACAGCAGAAAGTGGTTTGAGTTCCTAGACACTGCAAAGGGATACACAACTGAGATGGGTTATGGGGCTGGGGGAAAAACTTGATTGGGTTCTCTTTGTTTGGAATAGACTATCTGTCCCAAAACATTAGTTTCTCCAATGGCTGATTAGCAAAGGGAGGATCAGTTAAGTCTAGGCTGGAAAAGTTCATGGACATAAGCAGGACTTGTGAACTATGTGATGCAGCGGAAGAAGACCAGGACCATCTATTCTGTAATTGTAGTTTTACCAAGGATCTAATCGATAGAGTATCTACCTGGTTAAATTACAAAATAGAGGGAGGAACGGTCCAAGACCTAAGGCAGAAGCTGATGAAGCTGCAGGGGAAGAGGAGGAAACAGGTCGTAAGTGCTTACTCGACAGCTTGTTATACCATTTGGAGAGCAAGGAATAAAGAGCTACATTTAAGAAGCACGCCAAAACTGGAGAGTATGATGTAATAGTTACAAACTACCATGGCTACATACTAGGAGAAAGGGAAGAGGAAGAAGATAAAACGATGAGTAGATAATTGGCATAGAGTGTGATGTAATAGATTTAAATGTTTAGTTTCCTTGTGTAAATGGATTTGGAGGTAGATGAATGAAACAAGTGCATTTGGTTAAAAAAGAAGAAGTACTCCACCCGTCCCTAAAAACCTTTCTCCTTTTTTTCATCCATCCCAAAAAACACTTCTTATTTCTATTAAAAAGTCACTTTTACCCATTATTTTTTCATACCCTACCTATCACATCATACCTTTTTACTAATAATCTATCCCTTTTTACTAATAATCTATCCATCAAATCATACTTTTACCCATCACATTAAAGGACATTTTTGGAAATTCAATACCAAAATACAATCCCCTTAAATCCCTCTTCAAAATCAAAACTCCCATGTTTTCCAGGACGAAGGGAGTATATTTTAGTATACAATGTATATTTTTTCAACAAACTAAACAAAGGAAAGTTAGAGTTGCATGTCATATACGCCCTCCGTCGTTGAATTTTCTTACGAGTTTGACATTGCACAATTTTTAATAAATTGGAATGTTGGTGGTTGTTGTTTAATTTGTATAAAGGAAAGAGAACTGATATGAGCCATAATTATATACGGAGTATTTTATTTCAAAAGTTTTTATATGTAACATTATTTAATTTCTAATATATTATTTCAACAAATTAAATTAAATAAATTTATTTTTGTTGAAGGATAACACATGATGTCGAATTTGAGAGCCATTATTTAAATATTGAAGTAATTTTTTGAATCATTTTTACTCTGCACTGCTCCGTATTTGTTCTTGCTCTACCCGTCTTCTCAGATTCAACCTGCACGACTGAACTATGATCGCCGTCGCGTTTCTCTCCTCGTCTTCCCGCCCGAATTCATCCCAATTCAGCTCCAATGTCGATTCCGCAACGCGAATCATGGGACTGTATGATCCCAGGTCCACCTTCACGCAGCAACGGTGATCCAAACCGGGAATTCAGGATCTCTAGTTCTTCGACACTTAGTAACTCTAGTCAGAAACTAGGAATTCAGGATCTCTGCTGGATCCAAACCGGGCTTGATTCGTGGGCCATTGCTGCTCTTTCTGGACCTTCGCTTTTGAGCATCTACAGCACATCATCTGGTCGTTGCTTATTCAAATGCGATGCTTCTCCGGAGCACTTCTCCTGCCTTTGCCGTGATCCGTCCGATTCCAGGCTTTTCTGTGATGTAGGGCTTAAAGGCTTCTTGCTCTCAATCAAAGCATTTGGGGATTCTGAAAATGATGTTGCTAATAAAGAACTGCTAATCCGTACGGACCCGGAATTGCAGAAGCTGGAGAGGGATTCAACTGCTGTTGTTAATGGGTCTCCGGAATTGGCTACATTTCCTAATTACAAAGTGAGCTCTGCTTTTTCGCCACTCTCCAAGCATATCTTTTTGTTTCTTTTCCGAGAGAGCTGGTAGTGTTTAATTTGCAGTACGAGGCTACATTATACTCTGCAGGGTTGCCCAGAGGTTGCGGGAAGTTCCTACAAGTCTTGCCAGATTCAAATATGGAGGTTTTGTATTGTGCTCATCTTGATGGGATGATCAGTATTTGGCAAAGGAAAAAGTAAGTAGTGAGTGACTGAACTTTAGTTTCTGTTTGAATTGTATATTCCTGCACTTCTGTGCTGTTAGTTTGCAGTGTCTGCAAAAAGGAGTATTGCTTAGTGTTCTGATACTAAATGTTTACCCTCCCCCTCTCAATAGTTTGAACTAGGAGAGGATTTTAGATTAAATGTGTCATGCAGTGACAGCATACTCTTATGCCAAATTGCTAGTTGAAATGAAAAAGGTTCCATTGCACTTTTTTGATAGAATCAGAGTTTTGATACTGTTTTTCTTTGTTACTCATATGAAAAGTGAAAATTCATTATTAAGAGGAGTAAACATGAAACATGCTGCAAACAGCTGTTCATTGGAGTGCGATTGCTTTAGGGCTTATTGGTTATGAACAAACATCTCGTATGCAGCATAAAAACTGTCAGGCTTTTGGAGACCAGAGTATTATAGTGCAATTATTTTAGGTGTTATAAACAAATAACTAAAATTGTACTGTTTTCTGTTGGGCTATATACACCTTCGGGCTTTTGGAGATCAGAGTATTAGAGTACGATCATTTTAGGTATTTGTTCATAATACCTCAAATTTACTCAACTAAGTACTCTCATCCTATCATCTGTCCAGCTGAATTCCATAGAGCGGAACTGTTTAGGCAATTGTTTTAGTAACTTATGTGTGGACCAGTCAGCTATGTCCCGGAATTCCCAGCAATCTGTACACAAAGAAAACTCGGTCAGGTTAAGACTAAAACACCCTGTTTTACCCCATTCCATGTCGATTCTTCTGTGACATTGCTGTTTATTTTGGTGCATATGGAATTGAGTTGTCGGACTTATGGTCATATACTCCTATACTCCGATGGAGTCATAGATTCACTATTTTTTTTGCTTTGGGGTATGATCATTGGCGGATCTATCAAGAAGCTATGGGGGGCATGTGCCTCCAGTGAAATTGGCCTTGTTAGTGTAAAAAGAAATACCATGGGTATTTTTTTTGAGTTGTTCCATGGAGTGCCCCCATCCAATAAAATGATGTGCCTCCATTCACCTGGCTAGCTCAATTGTTCAAGCCCAAAAAAGAAATTGTTAGAGAGTATCCAATAATGTGGTTCAGCTCAAGTGTCTTCTTGCCCAATCCAATGATCCAAACCCATGACGGCTATGTTCGTCATGGTAAAATTAATCATATCCTATTTTCAAGGGCTCAATAAGTTAATCTCTATAGTTGTGCGGCGACCTTTAAACTAGCACTTACATACTTTTGTTTCAATTTCTTCAATGGTTTATGTTGTACTCAATTAATTATTTTTTCACATTAGAACTTTTTAGTTTAATTTTTTTTGAATGATTTGTTTCACAGAAAATTTATTTCTCTCTCTATCTCATAATTGATAACAGAATTCAAAAGGACAAGTAAAATTTTGTGTGTTAAATTTATTTTATTTATAAATTGGTATAAAAATAAAAAAAACAACTTATTTTGTACGGACTAATAAAACTAAACCAAAAGTTCTATTCTTTACAAAACAAGAAATGATAAAAATATTTTATTTGATCAAATAATCAATCACAAGCAATCAAAAATTTTTCAGGAGACTAAAATAATAACGTGGACTACGTATATGTTTTCATTCCATGTCCCCCCCCCCCCCTCTGACCCCAATACTTTGGTGCCCACGGTGGTTTCAAATCCTAGATCTGCCACTGCCACTGCCCACTGCCCACTGGGTATGATGGAATGAAGCAAAATGACTTTTTAAATTGACTGTGCTTCTTTTAATAGTGAAGTAGCAGTTAGTCATTGCAACTTCGGATTCTTATCTTGGGTCATCCGGAAACAACCGCTCTATGTTTTAAACATAGCGGTCAGGCTGCGTGTGTGATTATCTGTGGTGTTTGAGCCGGGAGTCTCTTTGGAAACAACCTCTCTACTGTCGAGTAGGGGTAAGGTCGGCGTACACACACCCTCCTTAGACCCTACTTTTGTGGGGTTCAATTGGGTTGTTGTTATTGTTGTTGTACTCCTATACTATCTAGAATGGACTAGGATCTTACGATAGGATCCATTTCATGCATAATACAATGGATTCATGGACAAATAAATATGGTCATTCAAATTGAGAGACTAACACATTTGATGCCTTCTTGCAATGACTTTGACAAGTGTATTTTATCCCACAAACTTTGCCATGTTTTCTCAATATATAATCTGTTTTGTTTAGTTTTTTTAAAGATAAGATAGCACATATTTTTTGATAATCTAACAGAGGAGAGCAGGTATATACAATCTGTGCTATGGAAGAATTGATGGCTTCACTTGGCTCCTATGTACCTCCTCCCTCAGTTCTTGGTGTTGTTATTTGCCACTCAGATGCTATACTACAAAATATCAGCAAACTCTGTTCAGATGAAAGTGATTCTTCTGAACTGGACTTTGATAATCCATTTGATTTTTGTGATGAATCCCTCATCATTTCTAAATCGCCATTGATTTCTATTTCTGATGACGGAACAGTATGGAAATGGCTCCTGATTGCACAAGGATCCGGTAGCACTCAAAAGGGTAAAACAAAACCTGGCACTGCAGTGGAAGTTCATAAATCTCAAATCCAGGAAGAAAATCCTCAGGAAAATACTTTTCCTAGTGATATGTTAATGAAATCAAATGGTGCAATTAGCAATAGTGGATGTTTTTCAAATGCTTCTAAAAACGACAAAGAGTTGTTCAAGATTTGTATGTACGCTTACATATTAGTCCAGGAACAATATTTTCTTAACCCTTGTTATTCTGCCCATGAAGTCTATTATAATAGCTAAGTCATGATTGTTGGTCAATCATTTGTCTGACGCTCACCTATTTTAAGTTTTGACCAACCCACAACTACAAGGAACCCGCTATAAACCCAACTTCATTGGGGTCTTCAATACACAACCTAACCGTTGAAAAGCAAGGAGCTTTTTGGCACTAGGATAAACCCCCTTTTTTGTATGTGAAAACCGTAACACAGCAAAGATTAACTTGCACAATTTATGGTTGAAGACAGGGATAAACAACATACAAGTAATAGCCTAATAGGTCTTATTTGTATTTTTTGACATGCTTCATGAGATGGTATCATGGTAATACTTTTGTAGATAAATGTGCTTTAGTAATGAATAAGAGAATGTATACATACATACATGCATACATACATACATACATACATACATACATACATACATACATACATACATACATATACATATATATATATATATATATATATATAAAATATTATATTATATTATAGACACACACACACACACACACATATTCATATTCATATTAAAAAATTTACTGAATAACAAAAAATTTACTGAATAACACACACATACACAAACCATTTTTTCTAAATAGCTGTCACGAACAACTGGCACAAACATCTACACACACACACACACCTAAGAGCTAACTACACTGCCTTTAAATCATATCCTGAATGTAATATCTAGTGAGGAACTTTTCTTGTTCATTTGATAGAAGTTACTTCATTGAAACAATGGCTTTGCCTTTTTCCTCCAGCGAACAGAAAAATCTAGTGGCTACGTTAATCGGCTTGTTGTGACTTGTCTAAGAAGTGGACTTAATCGATTATTTCGAGTTCTACAGAAGCCAGAACGAACACCGATAAGAGCTCTAAGAGCCTCCTCTTCTGGAAGGTTCGTAGATAACCTAAATGCCTAAATATCCGTGCAATATGCATATTACTACTGGTTACTGCATGTATGCTGAATGACTGTGTGCATGCGGCAATGCGTTTGTAGCTCATTTTTTTTTAACTATGCCGACAAACAAGCTACTAAACTCATTCGATCTAGTCCTTTAATCCTCTTAAAATTGTATGAAGTTGTGCCAAAGAATTTATTCATTCTTACTAATTTAATTATTTAAACATTGTATCCATTACTTGTTTTGATTTTGGTATTATTAAAAAGTAAAAATGGCTAATGTACCTTGTTTGTTTAATTATAACTTTTGGGATATGTCATTTCCATAGGCTGACTTTAATGATACCTGCCCTCGATTATCTCTGGAAACGAAGTGTCTTTGTATGACAGTCATTAAAGTTGGGCAATCATTTAACTGTTACTAGGCTGATGTTGTTTACTCGTATTGCAAATTTGTATCAGCATACATCTGATAATCAAACTTTTTTCATTTGCTCTTCTTCCTTTCTTTATATGTGCAGGTGTGTGTGTATGCATTATTTGTGGTGCACATAATCTATTTTATGGGGAGACTACATGCTTTCTTTGACATCTACTGGATAATCTAGAAGAAGTAGTTTTGGCGTGCCTATAAGGAATCACATTGTGGTGCGTCATTTTATTTTGATGTTTGGTGTCTGTAATGGTTTGGGGTATTTTACTCCATTAATCTTGACCCCTAAACCCAACAGATTTGGGAGTATACTAGGTTGTCTGTATCCATCGCGGAACTAGATACTTGATCCTTGACAGACGGGAAGGATGGTTACTCCAATGTGAATGCTAATCTACTGAGGGTTTATCCTTATCTATAATCACTGCGCTATATTTAAATGGAATGTTTCCATTGGGCTTGATTGTTCAGGTTTCACCTATTACTTGCTTTAAGCATCTTAATTTTTAAGAAGTTAACATGTTAGTTTCTGTATATTGAACAATATTTGCCTTGTTCTTGCTAATTATATTTCTCAAGCACTGCACACATGTTCTCATAGTTTCCAAAAACAATTTATGTACCTTCTAATATTGTTTCGTGATGCACCTGTAGAAGTTTGGGCAATGGCAAAGACTCTTGTTATGGTATACCAGTTCATCCCTCTACTTTTTAGTTTTCATCACAATTTTCTTAAACCGTTTTTGTTCCAGTGGCATTTTATCTATTAGGTTATAGTAATCATTCTGAATTCGATCATTCTAGATAAACATATCAAATTGGTTTTTAAATGATTTGAAATAATGATGTGAAACAGAATTTTTTTACTGCCCCAGTTCGTTTGTGACAGGGTTGTTTGTTTTTTAAATTAAGATTTTTCTTAGGAAGAAAATGATAAGCATAAATGTGTTCAAACTTTTATGTTCTGAAATTGATAATTATCTTCGAGGTGGTAAGTAGTAAAGGACTGAGGAGTGTAACCTGGATTTTTAACCTGGGTAACCGTACCATTAGGGATGCACTTATGCACTTGAATGACTCTTATTGTGAGAGGTGAAAATGATGATTTTGCTCAATTTGATGCACATTTACTTTCGCGGTAGTGCATATTTCAAGGCAGCAACCAAGTTTGACCTATTTACTAAAATGCCACTGCCTTTTTTTATTTCTCACTTTTAAATAGCCCTTAGATTCTAAATCTAATGCAGCACCATTCACATTTGACATCATGTTTGCTTACAATGATATTACCATTTTGATGCTAGTCTCCGATTGCTACTTTTGCTCATACCTTATTTATCTTGTCTTTTAGATCATTCTCTAATTTTTATATCTAAACCAAATCATTACAAAAATTCATTGTTTTGTTGTTGGTGCAGTACCTTTTTTATTTTGTAATTTTGTAATTCATTCGTTGTAATAAAAAAAAATATTAGTAAGTCTTCTCGTTTCACCATAAGTTCTCTCAATTTTGTCTCATTATTTGGCTGCAAACCATGAGAGTTGCTCGTTTTATGTTGAACTTTAACACGCAGCTTAGATCAATAGCTCTGCCATTCACGGTAGTGGAGTGGAGTTTTCAAACAGTCCCCCGTCCGTCATCTAAAGATCGTACAACAGCATCTGTGGAGACATCTTCGCCAAAGGCATCTCCTTTGGACTCTAGTGAGTTGAAATTTTCTTACAGACTGTAGCAGCAATAACTTTTGTTTGTCTTATCTCTTAGTGATTGCGAGTCCTTATATCTGAAGATTAATTTTATTGCAGAATCTGGCACTGATGGACCACAAAATGAATTTTCAGAATGNACACTAACATTCAACAAGTTGGTGAGATGAAAGTCATGAACCTGATCAAGATAATACATAGAAATAATATAACTACATAAGCAAGTTGTTGATCAATTGGACTTTAAGGATGGAATTGCTGCAATTAATGCGATTATATCATAATATTTTTGGTGTGTGGTTTTTGGTGATGATCTCATGATTGATAACCTTGTGCAGTTATTTCCATTTCAACGTCAAATCTATCAAGGAGTGAGAAGTTTATTTTGGGATGGAAGGAGTACTCCACTTATTTTATCTAAATACAGTTATCTTAATTAGTATGCATGTTTAGCAATGCATTAGTTACTCGCTAATTACAACTTGGCTTCAGTAACCAAGTGATTCGACTCTAGTGATGGCGGGGCTTTGGAAACTTCTGCATTGACTTGTGCGAGGCGCATCTTCTAACTTCCTATTTGGATGGACACATTATTTTCTTCATCTCTCATTTGATTTCTACGTGAAACAACCCCTCTAACCTATAGGGTTGGTTTGATTGGAGGGGAGGGAAAATGCATCTTTCTCCTCATTTGGTTTTAAAATAGTGGATGGGAGGGAACCTAAGTTTTTGGCTCTCATTCCCTCACTCCCCCCCCTTCCTTCCTCCCAAATCGGAGGGATTGAGTTTGTTGCTATGTCACACAATTAATTGTTCTCCCATTTTTATTCTTTCCAACACTAATACTCCGTTAACAGAGGCAATAAAACAGGGATCTGTTTGTTTTAATCATGAAAAAGCAGCAACAACAACAACAACAACCCAGGTGAATCCACAACAGTAGGGTCTGGGGAGGGTGTGTGTACGCAGACCTTGCCCCTACTCGGAAGCAGGGAGGCTGTTTCCAAGAGACCCCCGGCTCCACCTGCACAAAAATATGGAAGGGAACACAATATCATGAAAAAGCAAAGTTAATGCAAATATGAAATAGGGATTTGTTTGTTTTATCATCAATGCCATATTAAGATTAGAGAAATGAGTCCTAACAAGCCTTATACTTTTCACAATATGCCCCTTTCTTAGAGAGTTGAAGTTGCAGGGTTCAGAGCAAGAGGAACCTTTTCTTTTTTGTTCTCATTGTTAATCTGTGGCTTCATTGACTATAGGTGCTCAATTTTATGTCTTTTGACAGACCAAAGTGGGCATCTTCTTCATTTGCTGCATCTGATGGATTGGTAACAGCCATGGCATATCGACTGCCTCATGTGGTACATCTGAATTAGTGATGTAGTCTATTTATCTGCGTCATCATTTCTATGTATGATGCATGTAAAATGGGAATCAGGATTCACAGTGGTTGTTTAAGTTATTTTAGTGCACCTTGTGCAGGCTCATCAAGTCATGGGGATGTCTCACCTCAAGAGCAAACACCGGCAAATAACCAGCCCCCTTTAAATATGGAAGAATTTGTTGACACTTTTTTTAGAGAAATGATGATTGCCTCAGATGTAGACGATGCTAAAGCCCGTGCTTCGCCGGCCCTTGAGGTTCTTGAGAAGTTCATTTGTATGCACACTTAAGTTGCTGCCGCCCAGAGTGCCCAACAGGTATTTTGTTAACATGTCTCACTTAGGGACTCCTCACTTCACTTTGTCATTGACACCTTTTAGGAACTATTCTCACATGATCACTTGCAATTTTTTTTTTAATTTTAATCTTGGCTCTGCTTGGATTCTATGCCGTAGTTCACTTCCAAGGGTGAACCCAGCTCTTACTTTAGTTTGTAATACTTTGGGTCCATTCAGAACTCACAAATTCCTAGGGTTTTTTTTATTTTGAGGAATATATAAGACTAATTAGAAGGTACTTCCTACATTCCAAAAAGATGTTCCCGTTTTTATTTTTAGAAAATTTAAGGGAGAGATATTTTTGTGTTGACTTTCCAAAAATATCCTCGATGTGATGGGTAAAAGTTGGATGTGATGTGTAAATTATTAGTAAAAAAGGTATGATGTGAAAGTAAGGTTAAAAATTAATAGGGGTAAAAGTGGTTTTTAATACAAATGGAAAGAATATTGTGGGAGAATTAAAAAGAGAAAGGGGAGGGAGTTTTTGGGACGGAAGGAGTAGAAAATAAAATGTTAGGGATAGTAGAACATTTATTCTAACTATATGTAGGGTAAATTTTACAAATGGTATACGAACTTTGAATGTAATTTCACTTCAGTATATGAACTTCCAATCCTTTTGTAAAAGTACACGAACTTGCATCTTTATTTCACCAAAAGTTCAATAGCAAGTATCTAGGTGACTACTAGGTCACCCGTGGCCAAATTAGAACTTTATAATTTTAATATTTATAATTTTGACACAATTTCATTTTATATCTTTCTTTTAAAGCCATCCCTTTTTTTCTTCCCTCTTTATACACTCCCCACCTTGCCCCGCCCCTAATCCACACCCCACTTTTGTTCTTCTTCATCAAGTGACCCCTAATAATAATAATACGGAGTAATAATAATAATAATAATAATAATAATCTATAATCAATTTAATAGCACTTTTAATTATAATTATAATAATAATAATTTGTTCAAAAAAAATTATAATTGTTATTATTACTACTGTATTACATATTACTCCATATTAAAATAGGAGGAAGAAAAAAAGTGGAGAGGGGAGTTCTAGAAGTTGATGATGAATGTGGGGGGGGGGGTGGGGTGAGGTGGGGAAGGGTTCCCTGGACCTTACCTCATCGATTTTGATGGTTTCCCACCAGGTAAAAAATGAAAGTAAATAAAGACTATGAAATCTAGACATACTTAAACTTAAAAAATGTTAGTCATATTTCATTTTCCTTAGAATTATCTAGTATTTGTTAGGATCCAAGATTTGTCATCCAACCATATCCTTGGCAGGTAATGTTTTCATTTTCCGGAAACTGCCAAGAATTATACATAAGTGGAGATAACGACTTGAATACTTACTATAGCAGAATAATATTCTGTTACAAATATTCCTCTGTGCTGAAAACTACTCTGTGTTTCTTCTTAAAAGAACATCTCATCTCTCAAACTATTTTCTTTTAGAAAAAAGAAATCTTTCTTTTGAAATTCAGGAGGTAACAGATGCTGAAATAACAGCTTGAAGCTTTACTACAGGAGAATGCTATTCTGTAATGAGCAGTTTCCATACTACATGACCGACCGAAAGAATTTGATGAAAGAGGAAAAGAAGTGAACCATTTGAAGCAGCTCTTGGCTCAATACCAAGAGCAGCTTAGAACTCTCGAGGTAAACCCGCCTTAACCTTTATTTGATTGGGGATTTCAGAGGGTAGGGTAGTGATGTTATTCGTCATTGGTTAAATTACAACTTTTACATTTTTGCAAGGTACAACTCTTAAGAGTCATGGAATGGTGCTTAACTTTTTATAGTCTTAAAATCTACACCATTCATTTTAATTAACCATAATGATTTTTACAATGCATTAAAAGTTTAATTATGATGGACACACACACACACACCGTGCCCACATTCATTCATTTTACAGCAAGAAAAGTCATTAGGGGGTAGTATCTTTTTGCAGCAACAACAACCCATGTTCATTCCAACCCACTGGATTATGGGGTTGAGACCTCTGTTAAAAATAGAGAATTTGATTTCTATTGATCATTTTTGCATTGATGCATTTTGGTACCCAAAACTTCATGGCCAGCAAAGTATGTCATTTCAGTTTATTTCATTTTTTTAAAGCTAAAACAATAAAATTGACTCTATTTATCTATTAGCTAATAGCTATAGATAAATAGAAGGAATCAAATTGTGTGTCCATCAGGTTAACAAGTGCGCGCTCGCGGTGCATTTCAAACAGGCACAACAAAGCAACTCCATCTCGGGACGTTTCAACCCAGACGTCTTTTAGTGTGAGCTCGGCGTGGGGTTGGCCATGGTGTACCTCTGCAAACTGTGTTGCAGCATGTGTGTTTTGGTATGTTTCAGTCTTAGCTGTCAAAAAAGCATGGCCATGGTCGGTCTTCGCATGTTTGATTATTTGTCTGCGATCACTCAACTCAAATTTATATTATTGTTTGCCCTTTGTGGCTTGTTGTATTTACTGGAATATGTTGTAATCCACATCCCTATTACTCGAGTACAACTGCAATGTGCCCAAGCTGTAATACATGGATTGCACAAGAGAACTGCTACATAAATACGGAGTACTCTTTATTTCCAGAGAGAGAGAGAGAGAGTTTATGGTTCTTTTAACACCATTCGTGGGTGTCTTTGTTTATCACCCGGGACATTTCAAAGTCGTGCCTTGTTTCGTTCAATTGGAGAGTGATTCATAATACCCTTTCAAATCCCTCCCCTTTGACTCCTCCGGTTTCCCCGTGGGAGAGATAGACGGTAAGAAATTTTTCGAGATTGCATGAAATGTTGAAAGATCCTCCTTGTTCTATTATGATAGTAGTCGATTTAAAACGACCAATCTTCAACGAAATGATTATCACTCACATATGGGGAATGGGGTGGGTGCGGTGAGGAAAAAATTACTGCTGGGTACCTTAAGTTTTGTGATAAGAACTCTCCGGTTCCATTATTTTTTTGAAGTGTACTCCGGGGTACCTTAAAATAACAAAAAAGTACTCCGGGATGACATTCCGTCACTTTCTCGGTTAAACTCCATTCTCCATTAACTTTTCTTCTTCCCCATTTTCGATCTTCTTGTTACTTCTTCTTCTTCTTCTTCTTGTTCTCCTCCTCCTCCTCCTCCTCCACCTTCGGGTTTCATCCCGCCCTCCACCCTCCACTTTTTTCTTCTTATATATTTTTTTGTTTTAAATATTTTTCTTCTTATTCTATTATTATTATTTGTTATTATTATTATTATTATTAAAATTAATTAGCATCTTTACCACTCTAATTTTTAAAAAAAATAGTGGAGTAGCACTTATTATTATAACTTCATATTTATTATTATTTTGTTCTTATTCTATTATTATTATTAATTACTCCATATTATTTTTATTTATAATTGTTAATAAAATTATTAAAACTAATTATTAGTTTTACTACTCTTTTTTAAGAAAAATAACAGTAATTGTTATTTAGAAATATATAACTTATTATAAAAAACAATTATAATTATTAATAGTATTATTTATTAAAAGCAATTATTTAGTAATTTTATTACTATACTTTTTTATAAAAATAATAGTACTTATTATTATTACTTTGTATTATTTATTATTTACTTCTTATTATTTTACTTTTCTGCTATTGTTTTAATATATACTCCATTATTATTAAAAATTAATGAGTAGTTTTATCACTGTTTTTTTAAGAAAAATAACACTTATTATTATTTACAAAAAATGCACTAATTATTTAAAATAAAACTAAATATTATCATTATTAAAAAATTATTAGTACTTTCACTATTCTAATTTTTTATCATTCGATGTTGTTTTTCGCATTAGTCACACAGTAGTCATCAATAGCCTCCATTATGAAATGTGACGTATAATTTATAACCAAGTGAATAAATAATCTTAATTTTATAAACTATACATAAATATATCACACTAAAATTAATTTTTAATTACAGCTTAAAATATTTTAACCTACTTTTACGCAAGTGAAAAATTAGAAATTGGAAACGGTCAATGGGGGCATACAAAGTAAAAAACAAGAAGAAAATAAAATTATAAAAAGTAAATAGTACGGAGTAATTATTACTGTTATTTTTCTTTATCCTAATCACAAAATATTAGAACCCGAGTCAGAAAAAAAGTATTTGAACTCAACCCGGTAAAATGAAACCCGAACGTGGACTAAGTCAAGTTGGGTTTGGATATCAAAAGATTACAATCTGACCCGATCTTGATGCACGCACAATAATTCTTTAGTATAAGAAAGAAGTATGAAAGTATGCGAGAAAACAAAAAAAAATTGTCATATGAGTGATAAGTTGTGTTGATCTTGGTACTAGTGTTAAGAGTTGGTTGAAAACTCATTGAAAGAAAATAGTACCTTTTTGATCATTTGACTTTAGTGCACATTCGATGGGTTACGAGTTACGTGGTACGTGACAAATATATTTGAAGTAACAAAAAAAAACTATTACATTTTTTGAGCATTGAGTAGGAATAAAAATCTCGCCCAAACATGACCGCAACCGATCCGTTTGGACCTGATACGGTACCAGAACCGAGAAAAAGAAAATTTGAACAATGCCCATCAAAATCAAACCCGAACTAAATTGGGTCGGGTTTGGATAGACTAAAACCCACACCAAACATGACGCGTTGTCATTTCTGGCGATGAGGTTTGGGAGGCGTAATGGCTTTTGATATAGCGGTGTCACAAACCAGGTGCCAATGTTATTTGAGCCCCCGAGTAATGTGTGTTGATTGCAAATACTATTTTTTTTATTAAAAAAAGATCAAAATATTCAAAGAAAGTTGAAAAAATGGTTATCCATAAACATTATAATTGTGAATCCGAAATGCGATTTTATAAGTAATTTTGAGTGACATTAAATAGAAGTGATGGAGATATAATGTGTTTAAAACTAAAGCTAATGTATGTTTATAGAGAAGATTGTGCTCTTTTGTTTTATTTGAGATGTCATGGGTGGGATAGATGAAAAGATGAGAGTACTTTGTTGAGCATTAGGAACAAATACCAAAAATGATGGCCCTATAATAATACTCCTCTGATCTCCAAAATGATAGCACCCCAATGAAGTGCTGTTTGCAGCATGTTTCACTTTCCATATGAGTAACGAAGAAAGAAAGAAAGAAAGAAAGAAGGAAAGAAAGAAGAAAGTTGAAGGAGAAAGAAGAAGAAGAAGAAGAAGAAGAAGAAAGTTGAAGAAGAAGAAGAAGAAGAAGAAGAAGAAGAAGAAAGAAGAAGAAGAAAGAAGAAGAAGAAGAAGAAAGTAGAAGAAGAAGAAGAAAGAAGAAGAAGAAAGAAGAAGAAGAAGAAGAAAGAAGAAGAAGAAGAAGAAGAAGAAGAAGAAAGAAGAAAGAAGAAAGAAGAAAGAAGAAGAAGAAGAAAAATGTCAGAACTCAGATTCCATCAAACAAGTGCAATGGAACCCTTTTCATTCCAACAAGCAATTTGACAAAACAGCATGCTGTCACTACATGACATAGTTAATAACAAACAAACAACAACATTATACTATCAGTAGCTATATGAGCAAAATGTCAGAAACTGCTGCAATACACTGTGGGAGCATCTCCCCACAAACCAATTTTTTCAAAAAATGAAAACATCCTTTTATCACTAACTCAAACTAAGAATGAAAGCATCCTGTTTTTCACTTACCAAAACTCACCTACCACAAACCAACAGCATTATACTATCAGTAGTTATATCAGCACCACCAGAGAGACCACCAACTCAGAGACATCATCTCTCCCAACTTCACACAGCAGAGCATTATAGTTCCACCACCCACAAAACATCTAGCATTTAAACAAAACAAAAACAGAACTGAATCATATTACTCACAAGTGTATCAGGAATCGGGTGCTGTTGCAGCAGATGATCTTTTCCTCTCCCTTCTAGGTGCCGCCGGTCCCCAAATTTCGACACAGCCGTCATCACTCCCGGATGCCAACATTGTGGGCACCTTCGGGTTCCAAGTGACACTGAGAACATCATCCGTGTGCCCGGACAAAACCTCAACGGGTTCATGATACTCGCGGCTCCAAATATACACTTTCCCATTGAAGCTTCCACTATCAATGAATCTTGACAAAAAACCGCCAAAACATGGACTCATCACCCCTCCTCGACGACTCTCATGACACGTGTATCTCTTTACCTCCCTCATCTCCCGACTGATGTCCAATACAACCAGCTCAGCGACCAACTCCTCCTGGCTATTCAGGTTCACTAGCAACTCCCCACTTTCTTGTGACAAACAGATAGAGCGCAACACCCGTTTTCCTTTCAAATTTAGCTGCCTGTAACCAACCTCCGGGTCCCAAAGATCCCAGATCAATATCAAATCCGGTTCAAACCCACATATCAGATTCCTCCCATCAGCCGTAACTGCGACCCCCCTCAGCACCCCCCACCTGTTCCTTCTCCAGTGCCTCACCCCTCCTTGCCTTCCATCATAAGAGTATATGTCTTCTGCACTCGCAAAGAACACAATGTCCTCAGATGGCTTCCAGCATCCCAACCCCAGCAGAGGAGTTCTCCTTGACAGTGCAGCAACACACTCTCCCGTGGAAACCTCCCACACTCTCCCCACTTCGTGATCACCAAACGTGGCCAGCAACATATCATCGCTGCTCCAACACGCAAAAACCACGCCGCCTTCGTGCCCTCTCAGCACATGTACTGGCTTAAAACCTTCATCCAAATTTACCTATTATTCACGCAACACCAATATAATTGTTTACAGTTAGAAGCAGCAAACCACAAAGACAACTACCTTAGTAGACAGCAAAGATTTTCGAATTACCTCCCAGATTATGGCTGTTAGATCCCCAGAGCCTGACACCAAGTATTTACCACTATTCGAAAACTTGACAAACCACACGTCGCACTCGTGGTCCCTCAAACACTACAAATATATATAGGGAAGTGATTAATGATGATGATGATGACGAGGACGATGACGGCGACTACTACTACTACTTCAACAATAATGATCCTAGGCAGGCAGTGATAGAAGAACAAGCAACACAGTAGCATAGCCGCCCCTAGTTCTTGCACTCAAAATCACTGCTAAAAGCAGAACAAGCAACAAAAAAAAATCTAGCTTCAAAATCACTGCTAAAAGAAGAACAGCCACAATAACTCAGTTCATGTTGTCAAAATACAAACAGCTCAATACCCTTGTTATATCACAAATTTCACTTGTCTCTCAAGCCTAACTTCATACAACCACATGAATAAACATTTTATAGAAGCACAAACCTGAACCGTGGTGGCAGGTAGGTTCTCTTTCCCACACAGATGATCTTCGTAGAGAGAAATCTGACCCTCGACCAGGTTGTGGAAAAGGCAATGCCTTTGTTGACTGATTATATTCTCTTCCAGAATAGTAAGAAGTCTGTCATGTGGTAACCGCAACAATCCATTCAGCACTTCCAGAACATAACCCCGCATACTATTTAATTCATCTTGGCCCACGTGCCCACCCTGCAATTCCATCAGAAGCTTTGCCAAATCCGCACAGTCGGGTTTCTCCAACCCAAGATTTGTGAAATCCGTCCTGGCAAGACTGAGAGCCCCGCCAAGATCTCCCCTGAACACGTGCTCTTTCAATGATTGGGCAATAATCGCTTTAAGAGCCTGGGAAAATCTTTCTGGTGTCCGGAAGAGATTTCTGATTCTTGTAAGAACAGAAATGCCCTGCTCAAAATCCCCTTTCATGATGAATTGTTCGAGCGCCCCATATTCAGTAGAAGAAGACGCACTCGGAATGCCAGACTCCACTTCAAGCGCTTTAGCGGAGGCCGTAAAGTTGAAATCCTTGAGAAACTGAATTATCATTTTGACTACCTCTTCCTTCAAAAGCATCCCCGATGGACCTATGTAGTCCATTTCCGTTGAATCAAAAAGGATTTCAGGGTTTTAGGAGATTCGAGAGGGATTTCAGGTTTTTCTGAATTTCGCAAGGGTGAATTTCGGAAGAGTTTCTTGAAATCGATTTCGGCTTTTCCGAATTTGAAATGCTTTTCAGAATTCGTGGGTGAAGATGAGAACTGGGATTGGAAATTTCAAAATTCCAAGAATGAGAACTTATCTTTGCCCGTCTGTTGTTCTGAGGCTGGCTTCTTGAGAAAGAAGACCGAAGACAATTTAACAAAATTCCTTGGGATACATAATCCATACTTTTTTTATCTTTTAACCTTCGTGTAAGAAGCACGTAAATTAAACATTTTTAAACCTTTTTTATTCATTAGTAGCTTAGAGGCCATCAATTTAATCGACATCAATTTCTTACATCAATTTAATCGGCATTTTTGTACTCCCCAATCCTAAAATTAACTTCTTATTTGACTTTTCACGGTCTCCAATGCGACACTTTGACCATCAATATCTCAATTTTTATATAAATATATTTTATAAAAATTATATATTTCAAAACTATGTTTCAAAATGAATCTATTACTAATAAATTTATATGAAAATTCAATGTATTTTTTCCGCAATATACGGTCAAAGTTTAAAAAGTTTGACTACAAAAGTCAAATTGGGAAGTTAATTTTAAGACGGAGGAAGTATTTTTTAGTGTAGTCAAATTGTTAGTGAGTTTTACTTTTTCATTATAATATTTATAAGACATTTGTTATATAATAAAAATGCATTGTTTATCAATTTATAATAAAAATGTATTTGAATATCATTTATTCATCTCTTTCAAATAATTTTCACGTACATATTTCTTCTTTTAATACGAATTTAATGTTTGTTTATTTTTTTCAAACTCGAATTGTTAGTGATTTTTTTCAAGAGTACAAAAGTATATAAAAATTAAAGTTAAGTTCTAAGATGATTATTTTTTTTGCATTTTTATATAAATAAGGCATGTCTTATTTTTAAAAAGGCATTACGGCCATGTATAACTCATCATTTGCCTTTACATATTCATAATATTATCTTTAAGCGCGTAAATATTAAACAGTTTTCTATCTTTTAACAATAACTACCTTATATACAGAGTAATTTTTAAATTCTATGTATTTTTTATAAATAAAGTGTGTACCATATAGAAATATTATACTTAATTTTTAACCAAGGATATAAAAATTACTCCCTCCGTCCCCCTAAGATGTTCTCATTTTGACTTTTGGTGGTTTTTAAGGAGAGTTGAAAAAAGGTGAAAGTTTACCATAATACCCTTAATGAAAAATGAGTGGAGTGTATTAAATGAGGTGGGTGAGATGTAATAAATAAAGTAAGTGAGGGTAGTTTTGGTATTTTACTTGTTAAAAAATGAAATGAGAAGATCTATTGTGGACAAAGAAAAAGGGCTATTGGGAAGATCTATGGGGGACAGAGGGAGTAGTATTTAAAAACATTTTTTGAACGTAACTCATTTATAACAATTAATACCATAAATTCTTCTAATCAATTTTGCAGAAGAAGAAACAAAGAAGCTCCGATCTTGCGCGAAGAAGTAAAGCTCATCCCTCAAAAAATTAGCCTTAAAGGCAATGCATAAAAAATTACATAAAAGTCAATGATGACACTACTCTTGAGGTGTTTAAAAAATATCCAGCAGTATGCCAAATTTCATCATTCTAAAAGCTTAACTCCCAAATTTTATACTCCTTATATAAAGATTATTCCCTCCGTCTGATCCCAAAAAATACATTGTAGGGATTATACATAAATTTAAAAGTAATTGAAAAGGTAGTAGTGGATAGGTTGAAATAAGAAAAAAGAGTGTAAAAATGATTGAAAAAATAAGAAAGAGAGTGTAAAAGAGATAGAAAAAATTAGAAAAAAAACCGTAGAAGTGATTAAAAAGATTGAAAAACTAATGAGTAAATTCAGAAAATGGTACTCAATAACTATATATTTTCGCAAATTAGTCCCCCAAAATTAACTTATTATTGAGATGGTACATAATTGAGATTAATGCTCAGCTCAATTCTCTAACTAACGACCATTGGAATGCATTAAAATAACATTAAACCTCATACTAATTTTTCAAAATGGTACTTTCTAATGAGGTGTTTTTCAAAATTGGTCCATTTTTGAAATAGAAATAAATTAAATATTGAAAAATATCTAAAAAAAATTTAGGATGAGAATATAATAATAAAAACTATAAATATAATTTTATAAATTTGAAAGTAAACGTTTTAGATTATTTGCAATTATTTTAAGGAATATCATGCAAATAAAATATTTAATAAAGATTTAGGTTGATTTTTTTAACATCTATTAAATATTTTATTTACAGGATGATATAACATTCATTATGGGTCTTTCTCAAATCGGTCTACTAGAGCCATGTTAGAGGAGTACTATTTTGAGAAAGTAACATTTAACATAATTTTAACGGTCGTTGGTCGAGAGAACTAAATTGAGCATTACGGAGTATTTTCTATTAACAAGTATCATCTTGGTAATTAGTTAATTTCAGGGACTAATTTAAAAAAATAAATAGTTATTGAGTACTATTTTGGGAATTTAATCAAAATATATTTGAGCAACCAAAAGTAAAATTCTATAATTTCAAAAGGTTCAAAAACATAAATAACCCTTAATAAAAAATTATAAAATTTATGACCGTGCTATTTGGGGATTGTACTAAAACATTAAATGATCTTAAATAGTTAAAAAAATCAAAACTTGTATTCACAAAGAGTAATGTTAGAGTCACAAACAAATAGTTCACAAATTCACAAACTTGTTTTTTAGCACTTTCTTAAAAATAAGATGCACTCAAATAATAGTAAATATTTTAATTTAAAATCCATAAACAATGTTTTGGGATTGAGGCAGCGGCAGATCTAGTATATACTTGGAGGGGTTCATGTCCGGCCCACAATTAGCTTTTGGGTTTTGGATTAGTTTTTGTGTTAAGATTTATGCATAGCAAAATTTATTTAAATAGTACTCCGTACTAAAATATACGGAGTAGTAACCTTTTTAATGTACTATTATATATTTTTATTTTTCAATGTAGTAATACCGGTCATTGTTCAAACTAAATGTCCAGTACCACTGGACATTGTTCAAACTAAATATCCACTATCACTGGACATTGTTTCTGTCACTGGACATTATTCAAGTACTATTTAGAGAAAAAAGTTTAAATACTACATTAAGAAATGCTATATGTTTTAGCATTATTTGGGGCAAATTGCACTATTCCTAATTAAAATTGAGGGGTCCCAACTGAGGGGGTGATTCATGTGACATTACCCCGTAATGTCATGGGATGATCCCCGGATGCTACGATTTCCCGTTCGTAAAATTGACAGTTCTTACCTCTCTTAACCCCCCTGTAAACCCCACATCCTGCCCCGACCCGAACCTCACCCCCCATATGGGGATGTTGCCCTCGGATAGCACCCTGTTTAATGGTGCCCCCAACTACCCGAATTCCAAAATTCGCCACTGGACAGGAGTATTAATTTAGAGAAAAACTATATTAACTCCACCTTTAACCCATTTTTGACCCTATTCCCTTCACAGACATTATAGACACGAAATAGTGTTCCGTGTTTGTGAAGACAATGGGGTATTAAATTTAGATGAAAAAACTACTCCCTCTGTCCCAATTTAAATCGCATGTTTTGATTTTCAGGCATATTTAAGGAAAATAAAAAATAGAGTTGATTTTTCGAAATTGCCATTACTTTTTTGAAGGGGTGATGATGTATGTGAAGATAAGGTAAAGAAGAGTGACTTATTTTAGGGGTAGTTTAGGTATTTTATTTTTAAAAGTTTGTGAAAACAACTAATAGGCAACTTATTTTGGAACGAAGAAAAAAAGGCAAACAGGCAATTTAAAATGGGACGAAGGGAGTATATTAACCCTACCTTTAACTTATTTTGACCTCATTCCCTTCAGAGACGTTAAAGACACGAAAGAGTGTTCCGTGTTTATGAAGACAATCAGGGTCAAAGGTGGGTTTAATATAGCATGATTCTAATTAAGATTAGGGTATACTATAGAGGATGAAATGGAAGTCCTAATTCACATAAAGACTACTCATCAAAACAAACGTGAAGGTTTAATTTGCCAATTATTACTTCAAAAATGTCTTGATTCTCATAAACAGCATTACCATTCTTGTGATCACATAACTGTTCTTCTAGACACCTGTCCTAATGCATTAGCAATCGGTTCCGCCCATGCATCCCCAACCCCGCCATGGACAACAAGGCAACTTTCTTGCGGGGCTATGTCCTCTTTAAGGTAGCTGCCGGCGGCCGATGTTCTTAGTAGCTCTTCTGAGCCTTTCTCAACTACACCCTTCAGGATCAAGGTTTTGTGGGCCCCTGCTATCAATTCCTCGTAGTCCGTGTCTCCAGTTTCACCAAGAATAACGTACATGTTCGCTACATTCAATCTCCATCGTACAAAGAGGTACCTAAACATGAACAACCTGGGGTGTCAACTTATTCTTATTATTTATTATTATTTTTTCGAATCAAATCAGTTCACACCAAATTAGATCAGAAATAACTTTAAATATAAACACATATTCAAATCAAATCGCATCAGACCAAAACTTATTCTAATCAGATCAGATGAAGAGGCCATGGCCTAATTGTTGTTGCCATGACACTTTCCAATGCATAATCGTGTTAAAGTACTCCACCCATACCAATTTTGATGACAAACAATTAAGTAAAACGAAGAAAAATTCTTAGTTTTTTCAATTTATTTTATTTAAAGGTTGAAGCATAAAAAATATATAATCTTATATATTTAAAAATTACATCAAAAGTTTTACAAAATAAGAGATGACAAGAATATTTTATTTTATCAAATGATCAATAAAAATATATAAATAAATAAGAGTTATCATGATTTTGAAATAGTAAACATTGTAATCAATTGTGGGACAAAGGAAGTATATGAATTCATTTTCTTACTATTCAGTTACAACATTGTGGCTGAGTTGGCTTTTTTAACATATATATAGTCCAGATCATTACAGACCTAGAGATTACAAATTCAAAATTCACCATCTCGCACTTTCAAAAAATTTAAATGTCTCTCTAGAAAGTTTGAGTAAGTAAACCTCGCATGCATCTGAGGGCATGTGTTAGAGTTTATGCAAAATCATTCATCAATGCCTCATCAACTACAAGTTTGACTTAGAGTTAATTCTTGCTGCCACAACAGAGGAGGCGGCGAAAATAGCCTCTTGGGATCCGTCAGACACAATTTTTGAATTTCCCATCTCAAATATTGTGATTATCCCGTTGCAATTTACTTAATTTTTATTTCTTGTTTGAACTAATAGTGTTTTATTTTCTCTTCTGATTTTGTCTCTGAATGATTTTATTTTTCATATAGTTCAACTACTATTCTTCAATTTTATCGAATGAAAAAAGAGTTTATTTATTACAAATCAATACCAAGATTGTCTTTTATTTTAATAAAAAAATACGAAGTAGAGTTTTTTTTTTTTTTTTTTGGAAAATTCAAACATTAGCATTAACCCTTGTTGAATCAAACATTAAGATCAAAAGCTCATATCGTAGGAAACCATAATCGAACATTAAACTCTGTATTTATTTACTGCTTCAGGCAGGAGAGACTCAACAGATTGACTTTGATATCAATTCACTGAATGTGAAAACTTAGAACTAAATAATTAATAATCTCTCCGTCCACAATTTTTATTTCCATTTTGATTTTACACGCTTAAAGAATAAGTTAAAAAATGTAAAGACTTTTCATGTTTTTCATTGATGTGATAGAATAAAGTAGTATAGATGAAAACTAGAATATAATGACATACTCATTAAAAGATTTTTGCAAAAATAGAAAATGAGAAAGAAATTTGTAGACGCACCAAAAAGAAAAGTGTGAAAGAAATGAATGGACGAAAGGAGTAGTTTGATTGATGATTTTGCATCTAAAGGTGTCTTAGATTGGAGGAAAATTGTTTTTCAATCATATTTTTCGTTGTTTAGTAAAAAGGAAATTTTTGCTTTAAAAATTAGTTGCTATCATTAATATCTAAGAATTAATATACAAAAAGATGTTTTGAAATAATGAATACTCAAGTAAGATTTTAGTAGCACAGAGGACAACATATGATGGGTGGGGGCGAGGCTAGGGGTGGTTGGACGAGGTTCATGGGTGGATGGGGAGTGAACAAGGACGATGAGTGGGTGGGGTGGGGGTGGGGGTGAGGGTGGAATGGTTGGCAGGTGTGGACGGGGAAGGGTGTTGATGAGGGGAGGATAAGAGGGTGAAGAGGGGGGTGACAAGGTGGGGTGGATGAGGATGGTAGTGTATGTAGGGCAGAGGAAGGGGTGGCAGGTGGTTGGGGATGGGGGCGGAACCTGCGGAAATTATTTTACCCCTATTGGGAGAAAATACTTTCAACCAAAAATATTTTTCTACCACTAAACACATCATATATATGTAAATAAGTAAAAATGATGTTTCTTTTTATGTAAACTTTTATTTGGATATTTTTTACTTCAGATTTTCATTGCAATAAATATACAAAGTAATAATTAATATTGTATTAATTTAAATTTTGAAAGCAATAGCGTCATAATTTTACTAACAGGGCCCTTCTATATTTAGGACCCGTTGTGAACATCCAGAATACTACCAGACCTATATTCCCTTCACACTGTGAATATAGGAAAAATCAGCTGGAACACATGATAATATCTCACCAATGACAATGGTTGCATTACATATCTTAACTCTCGCAAAAGAATTTTCAAATGATAGTTTCCCAATCAGATCCTGACCCTAGATCAATAATTGCTTTAAACATATACTCCTGTTTTTGTTCGATTAGGGCATGTTATTTTTTGTTAGAATTCTAAAGTTGGATATTGGAAGAAACTCGAAGGATTTAGAAAAAGAATGGAAGAAGTTGGAAAATGCTGGAAGAATTAAATTATTAAAAAATTCACTTTATTAAATGATCACTCAAATAAAAATGTAAGAAAACAAATTTTGGATAAAATAAAATTTCATCTTTGTTCGTGTTTGAGATGGTATGTCATAAATTTAGATAAATGATGTTATTGACACTTATTGTATATTCATCATATGTAAATACCTTTTTTAAGTCATTGTTGGAAGAAACTAGAAAGAATTGGAAGAAACTAAAAAGAATTGAAAGAAATTGGAAGGAGTTAGAAAAAGTTGGAAGTTAAAATTCCAACCCAAAAGAATAAGCCCTATTAGTGTGCATATTTGGTTTTTTGTGGCAAACCTTTGTAAAATTTAACTGTAGAGCGATAACAACACACTCCCTATAATTCCAAAGTAGGGTGGGCACGGGCCAGGACCGCCGTTATACTGTCCCGCATTTTGTCCCATTTTTTTCAAACAGTTCGGAATGGTTCGGGTCACAAGTTTATCCCTCTTTGTCCCTTAATATTCGGGATTGGGATAAAACAGAACGAGTTCCGATTGTCCTACTTTGTCATTATCTGAAGTTTGATATATAAATATAAAATACATAAGGGGATGCAACTCACTTTGACTTGCCGCAAAGTAATGAAAAAAATGATATATTTTTTAAGAATATTTTTAAAAAGCTAAAATAATAAGGAAACATGAAAAATGTTACAGCATACGTCAAAAGTCAAGACTATAAGCTTCATTTAAACTATGAGCCACAAATTGGCATGGGCCGGGTTAGAACGGTCGAGATTTTTTGGTGTTTCAGCCCTAGTCCATTTTTTAGAATATTTGATTCTTTTCGCATTTTTGCAATGAGATCTCAATCCTCCACAATTGCGACTGTCACCTGGAATCCCTAGAAAACCTCAATTTTGAATCCTATCCAACCTCTTCGCCCACAAATTCATTGTAACATCTGCATTTCTGCCACATGACGTACGTGAACTTTCATATTAGCCCAACACCCTACATCATAAAGCATAGTTGGTCTAAGTACGGTCAAATAAAACTTACCTTTTAACTATGTTGAAATCTTCTTATCACACGAGAAGCAAGCTTTCACTTAGCCCGCGCGGCTCCAATACAGTGAACATCCCCATCCGCTCGAATGACTAAATCAAGACTATGCACTAGGTGTGAAATCAGCTCCGATCGATTAGTATTACAGAGAACAAATCAATTATAGACACTGATACGATTTGATCCGCCCCTCATAGACAAATTTGGGATTCGCAATCCAGATAAGATTGGTTCAGGATCATGGGATCCTTTTCTATCAAATGCGAATGGTTGTAGCACAAAATGTGTTCGAGCCTACCCTACCGATGTTTTAGAAATGATAGCATGGGATAGATGTAAGGCTAAACAAATTGCTTTAGCTCTAAGAGCTAAAGACTGTGTAGGTTGTAAAAGATGTGAATATGCTTGTCCAACTAATTTCTTGAGTGTCAGAATTGATTTAGCGCTTGAAACAACTCGTAGTATGGCGCTTTCTTATTAGATAACTCATGAAGAAATTCGCTGATCTACCCAAGTTCTAATGAATCAAGATGCCATTTATTCCAACATAAATAGTCATAAAAGCTCTTAACTTTCACATCCATTTCTGTCACCCGAAGCCACATTCCAAGCACTCAGTCTTAGTCGTGGTCAATTTGAAGCCTTTCGATTTCAGAGACTGCCACCACAACTCTAACTTGTCATTGAGTTTCTCACGATCCTCGTTTATCCGTAATAGAAAAAATATTATTAGTTTAATTACCTTCCTTATTCTATTGCTTCTACAATTGTTATTCCACTATGATTAGAAGTATCTCTTGTATTTTCTATATATAGGGATTCAACCTTCATCATTTAATAGGATCGATTATTATCAAATTGTATCATGGTATCGGGATAGGATTCTTCCTCAAACCTAGCCTTTTTTTCGATTGGCAAAAACATTGTCTCTTCTTCAACGGTCGACTAACGTTATGTCGTCTGATCCCTGGCCTCTCTTCCGAGCGGAGTCAAACTTTTACTGGACCCCTAGACCGTCCCTCACCCACGATCGACCAACCAATCACCAGCAACCCAATTCCTTTCATATCATACATCCCCACCCAAATACCACCACTAACACTTACCCCATACAAACTTGTGCCAAATCCGGGATATTCAAACCCAAAATATATATCATCACCCCTCTTGATAATACTTCTCCAACACTAAACCTAGCACCAATCACCAAGGCTCCAAAAGTAGGCTTTGTTGTCAAGCTATGGATGAGGAATCTATAACTTTAAATGAATAGCGTACTTAGGATTTGGTACCACATCCTAAGAATCGCACTTCGATTGGTTGTAAGTGGGTGTATCGCATCAAAGGGAACACTGATAGATCTATTTCATGGTATAAGGCTCGTCTTGTGGCCAAAGGTTATCATTTGGAGTATGACATTGATTACCATTTCCAAGACAACATTCAGCCTCATTGTCAAATAGCAAACTATACGTCTTATTCTCTCCTTCGCACTTCATCATGCCTAGCCTCTTCATTAGTTGGATGTGAGTCAAAGCCTTTCAACATGGCACTGTGGACAAAGAAATTTTTATGGAGAAACCGTTGGATTACATAAACCCGCAGTGACAACACTCTGTTTTCAAGTTGCAAAAATTCTTATACGACCTTAAACAGGCCCCCACATGTGTGGTCCACACGCCTGTCTTCTTTTTTGCAAGGTCTTGGTTTCCGCAAATCAGTGTTATCAATGGCGCAAATGGCGCGCGCAATAAATGCGCCATTTTTGCCCCCCCACCCCAGTGCCATAAACCTGTTTGTGGCGATAGAGTATCATGTGGCAGCGCCATTCTTGTGTCATTGCCACACCATCGCCATTTGTCGCCAATTTTTTTCTTTTTTAAATTTTTTTGGTTAGTTCAGGCCCAATAAGGTCTAATAAGTTAGGCCTAATACAAACAAACCCTTTTCTTTTTTGTCAAACTCAGCCGTCACTAACTTTTCCTAATCGCAACCATCGCTCGTCCTATTCTTTCTTTGATGATCGGACTCGAGAAAGAAGGGAGGGAACCTGCGACAACCTATTTCTTCTTCTTCAAATCCTGGGTTTCACATGAATCTGGAACCTGCGACCTAAAATGTCATGCTCTTTGGCTTGGGAACACTGCACAAAGCGGAAACCAAACTCGAGTAATGATTTGGTATGCAATTTTGTGGTCGTGCAAGTAATGGTGGGATTAGAAGATTCAAACATCTGATCGGAGGGAATCATAACACAATAGAATGTCCTACTGTTCCGGAAGGGTTGAAGAAAAGTCTCTGAGACTTGGTTTTGAAATAGGGAGGATCGAGCATCAACTAGTAATCCAATGGTTCAAGAAATTGACGAAGATGAGATATTATCATGTCATGGTTGCAGGACAAATACCGTGTCATGGTTGCAAGTAGTAGAAGCTATGTGCACAGAGGACGTATATCGTGCCATGGTTGCACGTGTAACATAAGCTATGTGGTTACGGTAAATTATCGATGCTCTAGACATCCCTCCATCAAAACCTCGCCCCTACTACGACAATGAATCCAGTATCTGTGTGACAAAAAAACCAATTCTACATAAGTGTATGAAGCATGTTGGTTCAGGTTGTCATTTTGTGCGAGACGAAGTCGTGGTCAGACATTAAAACATCTTGTTCCCTCCTCTGAGCAGACATTCTCACAAAACAACTTCCACCATGCATTCGTGCTCCAAGCTTCTCCTCGTCACCGTTGATCAGCATGTTGGGGGATAATAGAAAAGAATATTATTATTTTAATTACCTTCCTTATTCTATTGCTTCTATAATTGTTATTTTACTATGATTACTAGTATCTCTTGTATTATCAGATTGTATCAATCCGTACAATATCATCAACAAAAACATGTAACGTTGACTTGTCTTGTGGTAGGACATCCATCACCAAATGAAAAAGGAAGAAACTAAGAGAAAACCCTTGCTGTAACCACACCTCTACAATGAAATGATCAGAGTCACCTCTTATAGTTTTCACCCTAGTCCTTGTCCTGACATACATATCTCTAACTGCGCGAATGTACAAAATTGGAACCCCTATACACTCGAGGCATCTCCACAAGATCTCCCTCTACACCCTGTCATACGCAATCTATATATCAATGACCATGTGAACATCCTTCTTAGCTTTATACTCTTCCATCAACCTCCGCAGGAGGGGAATAACCTCTGTTATTGACCGGCCATGGATGAAGCCAAATAGATTCTTGAAAATGCAAACCTCTTTCCCGAGCCTAGCTTTTATGCTACGCTCCAAGACCATCATGGTGTTTCAAAGAAATTTGATGCCTCTATGACTATTGCAACCCTAAATATCATCCTATCTCTAATAAAGTGGGATCATCACACTTTCTCTCCACACATCAAACATCTTACCCGTTCTAAAAGTAACATTGAAAAACTTAATTACCTAGACCAACCCATTGTTGAACACAGACTTCCAAAACTCCATAGAATCTCATATAGCATCAAGGCTCTCCACTCCTCATTCCATCGAGGACCCTCGCAACCTCTCTAGCCTCCTTTTCCTCTCGCATTCAATAGACTATGAAAGTATTCCCCCACCGGTTGGCCACTTTCGGTGCTTCAAACAAAACCATGTTATCACTATCTTTCACACATCTCACATACTCCAAATCCTAGGCCTTCCTCTTATGCATAGCCAGCCAAAATAGCCTCTTATCATCCACATAGCATCTCACATGCTCCAAATCCCGCTCTTCCAAGTCCTTATATAGGCGTCCAAAGGCTTCACTCTTCAACCTCGTAACGTTGAAATTTGCTTCATTGCATGTAATCTTATACTCCATTATTAACGACATCATAGCCTTCTCATCACTACAATCCACAAACCTCTTATATGCTACCTTCTTAGCTTTCACCTTACAACAAACCACGTCACTCGACCACCAATCACCTTTATAACAAAACTCAGTACCTCTGCTCACACCTAGCAGCTTGCCAAATGTAATTTGCAATCGTAGCCGACATGACATTGGCCTCTCCAAAGGACTCCCACACACCTTTATGTACGCAACCTTAAGCGTACGTAAAACAAAGATGTTTCTACTATATCCTTGATGGATTGATGCCTTTACCACCCAAAACTTCAATGTAAGAACCGATGAAAATGTGATGTGCCATTTTGATTTACTTCATTACTTATCCAAAGCTAAAACACAAAAATGACTTTTTTAGCTTGAGTTGCAATGGAGGCTGTAAAAATTAACCACGACTTGCATTAAAAATATAAGCAATACGGTAGTTTATAGTGCAGTCTTAGAATACTTTGCAATGCATTTATAAATTGTAATACTGATTAGTGTATTTGAAAATAGTACATTTGAGATCACATATTCAAATAATGCACATTAATTAGGAATAAGACTATTTTAAGAGCAAGATATGTATTCACATTCCACAAGATATGAACAACCATTTTAAGGAATAATGTAAGACTACATACCTAAGTGCCTGAGCTCGAGAAGCAAGGAAAGGAATTACTTGGATCCTTGTGGAATTCCGAGAGTACATAAGATGGCACCGAAGGCCCCTCATTCTCAGCTTATGTCTTAGGTCATCTACTTTCCTTGCCTGTATGTAGGTGATAAAGTCATATTTAGAAATCACTGTATACCGAGGCCTGTCAATAGGTCGGGTTCGAGCCAAACCATGGTGTTACATATCCATACCCATATAAAAGTGTCCCTAATGCGTACCTATTTACCCAACGAGCCTTAATGTTGTGTACTAGATTTGGACCCGTTTGAGTCCAAGTATCAGGTCGTGCTGTATCTGAGGGATGTCGGTTTGGTGACTGCCTGGGCCTCCTAAATTTATGGGACCCACAATTTTTTAATCGTAGTGTTATGAGTAGTCTAGAAATAAACTTCTAAGCCAATAAAATGGTTCACTCCTACTTAATATATTTGAAGATAGAAAATGGTCGTACAAGATTACAGCTAATATAATATTCAACTCTTGAATGTGAAGTTGCTGACCCAACTTTCAACTAGTGTCACTTAGGATACTTTAGTCTTTTTTATTTATATTTTCCCCTTATATTGAAAATATTTATTTTTGTAATTATTGTGTTTCAATTTTAATGAAAAAAGTTAATTAAACTTTGATTATGGATAGTTAGGTACTTGGATATTGTCTACATGAGATCAAAGTTGGGCCTTTCAATGGGGTCTAAATAATGTAGAATAATAGAAATTATGTAGTATTATTTTTACGACATGGGTCTTAAACGGGTCGGAACTAATTACACTATACCCGATCCTTTATTTGAAATAAATAATGGGTACGGTTTCGAGTATGGATAAACGAATTTCTGATAGGCCTAAAAATATGTGGGTTTTATTTGGGGTCGAGTCAAAACCCGGCTCATTGATCGGCCTAGCTATACTTAGTAGCCCATACCCTATTCTCGTGGGATCTAACTGGGTCATTTTCTTGTTACTATACCCAATGTTAAATAAATTATTTTCTTGTTTATGCTTTTGAAAAACACATGCACACGCATATACCTTGCTGAGATCTTTGATCAAGTAGGATAAACAATAACGATTGCTTGATTTCACATCCTCTTCAACATGTGGTAGTGTTGATCCTGAATTCTCACCTTCTCTTGCATTAGTTAGTTTCCAAAGAGTTTTCTTTAATCCATCGCCCCCCCATCGATATTCAATATGCGTAGCATAATGGGGGTCTGGAACAGGAGGATTCCCATCTGCAACTTTGCTGTCCATGTCTGGATAATAAACTTCACTGCCGCTGCTGCATATTAGAGCATCAAAATCGGTGACTTTAAGGTTACCTGATTTCAGAAACTCTATCAACTCTGACACTGGCATGGCAGTTGATATAGCTAATCCAGATGATGATAATCTCCCATCCTGTGAACCAACCATAGTAGCCTTTATCACCTCTTGTATGATATTAAGCATTTTCTTTTCCGGTTGTCCCTTACAATCATAGCAATCCAAGGCCAAGACAATCAATTTGCATCGCCGTCTCAACATGGGATATTTGCTAGGTACGCCATCGTCTTTCCTTTCTGCTTCATCGTGATTCTGATGAGTGTCTCCTCCTCCATCTGATTTCTTCTGTATTTTGCTTAAAACCAGCTTCACCTGGTCTGGAATTTCTGATGGGTTATCACTGACAACTGCAGAGGTGGTACTAAAGGATCCATTCAGGGACGATGTTTTCTCACCATCCACTGATAATCTCAAGGACAAATCTTGTACATCTTTGAGTGAGTCATTTAGGAACGACTCTTCTGCAGCCAACTTCTCTGTTGTAGTGTCAGTTTGCCACTGCGGGTGTCTCATGCGACATGCAGCTATCTTTGTCAAATACGTGCGACAATGTTCTGGCCATGAAAACAGGTGTATGTTCTTCCAACCTCTTCTCCGACACTCCATCCACAGATTCTTTTCTGATACTAGTTTTAGAAGTGCATCAGCAATTGCTTGCTGATCATGAGGGTCTACAAGCAAACCATTCTGCAGTGCCTGAGAACATATATAAAGGAAAATCAATATAAATAAGATCTTAAGACATGCATCCATCTATTCATCCACACACAAACACCCATGCGCCCTCACAGACACAGGGAAAGATTCAAGAAAAAAGAAGTCTTCACATGAAAAATGAAAACGGAAACAAACGGTGTACTTTTATTCAGTGCAAAATAAATGCACAATTAGAAATAATACTGCATGTTTATCAGAAAAACATCCAAACACACAAAAACAACATAGTCTAGTCCGGCTTTTTTATAAGATTAAATATTCTTGCATCATCTATGCTTTTTTAGTCTGTTCAACACTGTTGGGCTCTTGGGGGTAAAGAAGTACACAATCTTATCTGTGTAATAAACTGAGATGTTCTTTACTCTAGACCCTTATGTGTTGCAACATTTACTTTCCAAAATGTAATACAAACTAAGAAGATGCAAGGGAAGTTTAATTTGCCAAAGTGATTTGGTCCATTACTTGCTAGAAGCTAAAAATTATCAATAGAGACTAATTTAGCTCCATTTACAATGAATGGCTTTATCGGGAAGAAAAAGGAAACAACTAGTATTCAGATAGTTTGAATGAAATGTGAGAGTTACCCGAATAATATCAACCGGGCCGCCATTTTTAGTTGCAACCAAGGGGAGTCCATGTGCTGCAGCCTACATACAGAATTTTAATCCAGATACTGAAAGGTTATCTCGATCAATCTTGTAATTGAAGTATAATTTAACTACAATCTCAAGTCATCGTGATCTCAAGATATGATGATGATGGTTTTGTAATTCTTTTTTACTTTGAGAAAAAAATCAAAAAAAATATAATCTCATTGGAAACAAGATTGTTAAAGTAATGAAGGGTAGTCAGCATAAAACATATTTATTAAACTCTTGTTTGCATGAATCTTTTGTCTGAAACAATGAGTTCACATTATAAATTCGGGGAAACAAAGTAACCAACCCAACAAAATGGGGAATAAGGCGATGGTGGTGCTACTGATGATGAAAGAGCTCGAAGAGACAAAGAATGGACATGTGACAAACCTCAATCAGTGTAAGTCCAAATGGCTCGATGAAAGCTGGGTTTATAAATACCCCCTGTGATTCAATTATATAGATTACTAGTTAGTTGCAACTTATAGTTGACAAACTCTCAAACAAGTGTTGCAAGCTAGGGAGGGAAGGAGTTTGAACTAACCCTCGTTTTTGCAGCCATGCGATATATATCAGGGACTTCACTTTGCTTGTGATGTTTTGGGAAGGCCACTAGTCCATACAGATCATACTTATCAATTAGCTTAAGAACTGTTGTGAGCACACTAGCATTCCCAGCAGACATTTCGTCTATATCATCCCTGTTTCCCATTATAAGAGTCTGAATTGAAAATATTTATTATCATTTTTATTATATAGGATGGTAAAAAAAATGTGGCGGCTTACACTACAAGATACAGTAGGAAAAGCATAGGACCTACTTACAAGATTAGCTAGCTCGCGTAAGGGGCGGCATTCTCCAAATGCCTTTACCAAAGTGGTTAAGTTCTTTTTTGGGTTTGGCCTTGACAATGCCAGAATCATTGGCTTGTGTGGATTTACAAGAAAACGCATTACCTGTAATTGAAGTTGTAGCCAAAGAGAAAATTGGAGTTCTAATTTACTAGCTTTTGAAAATGCTCTAACTTTTTCATGAATTTGAAGCAAAAGTATATGGGAACAAAATATTTTTCTTACATTGTTGGAATAGAAGAAATTAACTGGGCAGAAAATAGTCATCAAGACCCATATATACCCAAAATGTTATGGAGCATATTGGTTTGCTCCCATATGGCTGAAATGGTGCATAGGATGAACTCACCTTATTTTTGTGGGTTCCATTTTGTGAGGTCGCTACACCTTTCCAGCCCATTTCAGCACTGTGCTCCATAAGGAGCATACCAACATGATGTATAAATTTTACGCCACATACACACGACTTACCTTAAGAAAATTTGATTGCACAAACACGCACTCACACCTATTAATAACACCATTACTGACCTCTGACAAAATGGCAGGCATTGCTTTAGGAGATGATCCGTCTGAGGTAGTAAGTGATGTAAGTTCGACATCCATTTCAGCTGCCTCTTCTTGAACAACAACATTGCTGAAGTCCATTCCAGGAGGAATAACCTGAAAGCAGTTGACTTGCAATCTTTAGCTCGTTTTTATAATCAAAGCGTCTACTGTCATTTCATCATAGAGATGCTTTTATATACTCTATATATCCACAACAATAAAACTATATTTGCAGGCAAATGTATATACTTCTATCACTATTTAATCTTTCCCATTTGCTTTTTACACAGAGTTTAGGAGAGAGAATTGATGCGAACCAAAATATTTTTTTTAAAAGGGAAGATTAATTAGGTATATCTAAAAAAGAAAGGGGAAGATAAAAAATGACAGACAAAGCATAATTACAAGCAGGCAAGCAGTTTTACCGCCATTCTAGGCATATAACGACCATGGCAATTGACCCCACGTCTTTCACGGGCCCTCAAAACTCTCTCGAGCTTGACATCGAACCCATCATATAACCCCCACTGCTCATCAATTTCTTGTCTAGTGCTTGTGATAACAAGCTCCGCAGCATCAAGTGAAAGCTCTTCTGCCTCAATCCTCCGCACGATCCTATAAGTTGAATTGATATCCTCTTTGGATTGTCTTCCCTGTTTCAAAAGCTGCTCAAGCTTGTTTCTTCCAAGCGAATGCCCAGTTAACACCATGGGAACATTTAAAGCCCCCGAAAGAAGAGCTGCACTATCCCCAGCATCTGCATAGTGACCATGAATCACATATGGCCAAACAGGTTGTTGCCCATAGCCAATCTGCTCGCCTAGTGTCTTAGACATATTCAGGATGTGCGTTAAAGCTCCATCCACAAACTCCTGTATATAAGGCCACAACAGCTCTTTTCTAAGGTATTTGTCACGAGGACCAAAGGGTATTCTTATAATATACGCCCCACTACTTTCTCCCATATCTGCACCACTGTCACCATCAGAATTCAACATTTCTGTAGGCTCACCATAAGTCCAATATACTTCTGGTGATGAGACTTGACGAGTGAACAGATCAACCCTATAAACTCCAGGTATCTTTGCAAGTGCCTTGGCAAGTTCCACTACATATTTAATCTGTTGTGAAGTTGAAGAAATCAGGTTCGTTCAACATGCAGTGTCATCAAGATTTTTTTTTTGTAGAGGAAATTATGAAAGGGATGTGTGTGCACTTTATCATATACATAGTCACCTGACCACCAGTGTCAGAATCACGACCAAGCTCCATATTTTCGCCACGAACCAAACCATGCAAACTAATCGGCAAGGAGATCATAAGCACACACTTAATGTTAATAATTAAAGATTTTATCTTTGATTACTACATTTCAACCTACTTCCACCAATAGCATTAATTCAACAATTCATCGAATAAAGGCACAGATTTCCTTTTTATGAAGAAATGTATCTGCAAGAACCCACATACGGAGTATATGCAAACCTTATGAGAACAATATAAAGCTTTTTCCCCTGCAATGTGTGTGACGACCATGTTTCCAAATTGGACAGGTTTCGCTTGAACTCCGTCTTGGGACTATCAAGTGTTGTTGTTATTGTCTCCCCAGACACATCGCCACCCTTCTCTCCCTCGCACAGGTCTTCAGACATGTCGTCCTCTGTCATATCTTTGCGTCCTTGTTCCTGTTCCCATCTTCTATTCGCCAACCTTTGGAAAACTTCCAATTCCAACTACAGAGAAGAAAAAAATGATTGAAGAGGTCCAATAATAATTTGATTGCTGTGAAAATATAGAATCTTAGAGAGCGTCCTCACTAGTAAAAGAACCAGCCAGATTATGCCAGAAAGTTACTAGAAACCAACTATACTAACGTGCAGGAAATCTGATCAAATAAAAAAATTAAACCTAAACAAAAATTCAGCCCATATGCAATTCTAAAGGAAAAAAGAATTAGTCCATTTAAATGGCAAATGTGTGCATCCATTGGGAAATTTTACTGTGATGAAATTTTACACACTTTAAATCTTTAATGCCATTTTCTTTTCAATGTATAAGTCCAGAACTTCATACTCCATTATCTAAATACCATTTGTCAATCTCCAAATCCATGTACCACATTTGAGATTACAAACTTCATTATTTTATTTTATTTTTTAGTGCAAACTTCATCATATAATTTGACTCACATTCCAAGTTCTAGTTACCCAACCTTAAACCCCATTTAAAAATAAGGCAAAAAGAACGTCTAATTGACAGAATGAGCACCTAATAATACGTGTAAGGAACCAACTCAACCAAAAGTTCAAACTTGTGGTTGTTTCATATTCTAACATGCCCCCTCACATGTAGGCATGGTTGTTTCACAGTGAGTTTTGAACTCATGACTTCTTGATCAACAAGACTCTAATACCATGTCAAGGAGCCAACTAAACCAAAAGCTCAATCTTAAAAGATTTTTTAAATTTCGTTTATTTGAGACAACAATTCTATTTCAACTTTCTTAAATTTTTTTTTTTAAAAATCAAATTGAATTTATTGTCTCTCTATATTTTGAAAAAGTGTGTGATTTAAATTTATTTGGAAGAGATATAATTAATGAAGTCTACATATTATTAAGAAAAATTATTTTACTTTTTCCTCAAGATTAATTAAACCTATCTCTATAAAAAACCCAACAGAATTACTGTATATTATTAAAAAAATTGAATGAGAAGGCCACATGGCATAAAGACATTGGCCAATCCATATCACACTCTCTTCTTCTCCACAGACTAGCACATCCCCTTCCTCTCCTTGGAAGTTGTGCCGGAACACTTCTCCTTGTGTCCCTCCATCCAATGATATTACAACTCCAGGAGAAGTGGACTCCTCCACCTTTGTAACCCTTCTAATGCGGATGGCCTAAGTCACATATATTACCCTCTAAAACTGAAACTACTCTCAAACACTAGTGAAATTGGGCTAATATAAACGATTCGGAGTCTTATGGTATGTAGTAGAGAGCAAATCCCAGTAAAATCAAACTAAAGTAGACATACCTGTTTCTTCTTGCGAGTGAGGTGCCAGATTCGCCAGCACATGTTTTCGAGGCGCGAACTCCGCTCCATAGTGTTCCTGGTAGCCACCACCTTGATCCATGTCCGGTGAAGGTCGGTCTCATCTACAGCCGTAACAACCTCCTCCACAAAGTACTTGGTCGAATTGAAAATCCCTCTATCCCGGAGGTTAACCAGCGGCGCCTTGTTCTCAACCTCAATCGCCGACGCTCCGCTGTCCAGTATGGCCTCCAGGTACCCATTTATCCACTCATTTCCGGCCATTTTCTGGGAAACCTAGAAAAGATAAACAAATTAAATAAATAGATAATGGGGATGGGTTGTGTTGAGTTTGAATTTCCCTGTGCTACGATTGGAATTACTCTAGACGAAAGCGTCATGATCTCAGAGATGAATGGTTTCAATCGAGGTTTGTTAGGAATTGGTTGGTTAGAAGGAGCACGGACTGGAAGTGGAGGAGAAATACATGGTAGTTTGGATGTTGAGAAGGTGGCGACACGTGGATGGATGGGATGGGTTGTATTCACAAGCAACCAAGTATTTACATTGGGTGAAGTTATTTCTACCCCAAATTTCTATCCCATTTTATACACCGCAGAGCTGCACCAATATTTTGTGTGGGTATAACGCTATTTTTTGTTAATGCACCAATACTTTGTGTCGGTGTGAACTATCAAAATGTTGATGCATACTTTTGATGCACAAATGTGGTACAAATTTTGGGATACATTTAGCATGCTCCATTTACATTCTTTGATTTAAAAATGGATAAATTCTAAAATAAAAACGCTTGGTGAACACTACTTGGATACACCACATGTACACCAAGGTAAAAATAGGCACACAAAACAAACATTAAGTGTGTGTTTGGTTCAAGGATTTTGGCTGGGAAAAGAAAAGAAAATAGGAGGGAAATGCTTTTTTTTATGTTTGGTTAGCGAGAAAAAGAAAGGAAAAGTGAGAGAAAATGAAAAGTGGAGAGAAAATGAATTAAAAAAACAGGAAAATCAGTTTCCTCCCGATTTCGGACGGAAATGGAGAGAATCCCGTCTCTGAAACCTTCTCGGCAGTTTCCTCACATTCGAAAAACCAGTATAATGCTTCGGTGCTTCCTGGGATGTTTGCTTTTGGGTTTTATTTTTTGTCATTAACCTTTGGCAATGAAAATACTGGACTGTTTGTAATCTACTTTTCTTTCATGGGCTATTTGAGAATAATTTTTTTTGTTTTCATAAATAACAAATAACTAGTAAATTTCAATGTTGGAAATTATAAGTCTTATGTTAGTATTTTTAGAGTTAACCGATAATATTAAAAAAAATTATTAAAAATGCTAAAGTTTATTTTGGGTCCAAATTTGATTCAATAAAATATTTTGGGTTCAAATTTGAATTTATATTGTTTTCTCACCAAATTTCCTTCTAACCAAACAAAAAGAGTATGAGAATACATTTTCCTCATCAATTTCCATCTTAATCAAACATAACTAGAATTTTGAGTTTCCTTTCTTTTCTTTTCTTTTCCTTATCATTTTCTTTTCTTTCTTAATTCCTTGAACCAAACATAGTGTAAGTATTTGTGTGTGCCTATTTTAAACTTGGTATACATGTGGTGTACCCCTAGTGATGTTCCCCTCGCACTTCTCATTCTAAAATCATACTCAATGACTACGTATATTTTTTCAAACGAGAGAAGTATCATAATAACGCTAATATAGCCCTATAATACTCAAAATAGTAGTGCTATAGGTTTTTGAGATGAATTCCCGGTTTTGTCCTTAATTAAACATCTAAGATTGAATTATAAAAAATCGGTAATTGGCGTCCCTCCAAGATTCTTGTGTACGGAAGATCCGATCTTCACGCCATATTACCGAAAAAACATCCCAAATATGGCCTTGAACGCAGAAGTATCATCAAGGAGGAGACGCGCAAGGGTTTCGATGACAAACGATGATGCGCTGGACGAGATTCCTCTTAGCAAAAGATTGGAGAAGATACATGTATGCTTAGTTTAATTTGACAGTGAAATCGTTTAATTTGGCAGTGGATTCGACAATAGCTTCGTTTAATTTGGTAGTGGAGAAGATTGGCAGTGAATTCGGCAATAGATTCTATTAATTTGGTAGTGAATTCGTGAGTTTGGCAGTGGATTGAGTTTTTTTTTAATTTGGCAGTGAATTCGTGTGTTCGGCAGTGGATTGAATTTGTTAGTTTGGCAATGGAGAAGATTGGCAGTAGATTCGACAATAGCTTCGTTTAATTTTGCAGGTACTGTATCTCGCGCAGGAGAAGTCGGACACCAATAACGTGCAGTAAATGAACACCTTGAATAACCTAATTTTAATAAAATACATAAAAAAGACTAAATTATAATAAAAGGAAAAGACTAAATTATAATAAAAGGGTAAATGGTATGATATGAACGGATTGACACCATAAATAGCTAAGTTTGTAAAAAAATAATGAGTAGTGCTAAATATGTAATATTGGGTGAGTTAGAGTGCTACGTAGGGTAATCTCTTTTATTTTATATTTTTATCAAGTAAAACATACTTTTTATTACACACACAGATATGTGTGTGTGTGTGTTAGCCTTGGTTTGCTAAGCCTCACGTTTTGATGTTAACAAACAATATAAGAGCTTGACGTTTGTTTAAGTGTTTCAGGTACAACAAGAATCCATTAAGATTCAGTACTCAAGAATGAAGTTGAAACACCAAACTAGCGTAGAATATATGTAGAAACCAATGTAAGGATATGATTTTATATACCTATATTCACAAGCTCAAAAACACTCACAAAATATGTTTAAAACCCTTTTATAATCATTTTCAAACATCCAAAAGGTTTTAAATAAAATTAGAAATGATTTGGACAAAAATGAAAAAATTATCAAAATGGTCATAAGGTACCTAGGTACCGTACGCACGGGACCCCCCTACCGTCTAGACGGGACCCCCCTACCATAAGGGGTACCGTAAGAGGATAGGTACCGCCAGAGAGTTTTGGCCTGAGAAGGTACCTAGCTACCGTAAGCACAGGACCCCCTACCGTGACCGTTGGGTTACTATTCCTGATTTGTGATTTTGACTTTAATCAATCCTAATCACCTCCCAACGGCTAATTAACCTTTTCCACTATAAATACAAGCCTAATCCTTCATATTTCTTCAAGAAACAAAGCTTTAAACATCCTCTCTTTTTATTCTAAGTGTGTTCATCCTTTTTTTAATTAATTTTAATATTTTGGCTATTTTAGGAGCCTTAAGATCCTGATTTTAATACACACACTTTGAGCTTGTGTTTTTTGTTATATACTCTCATATTCATAAGTTTATATTGTATTTTTGAGAGAGTATAATTTAGTTCTACACCGGCTAAGTTTTGTTCTTCATTTTTTTAATCAAGCCGTTGTGTAGAACCTTTGTTCGTGTTCTTCAAACACACCTTCTTACAGTCGAGAATAGCCGTTAAATTCTCACATAGTGACGGTCAAGGATAGCCGTATAAATCGTTGGATAAAGGTTCAAGGATAGCCTTTGAAATCCTGGGGGAGCGGTAGAAGATAGCCGTTAAATCTTCATTGTAAACGGTTCGAGATAGCCGTAGTGAAATCTCGGAGTGAATCCTATTGGCAAGGGTTGTGTAACACCCTAATCCGTCCAGGTCTGCAGCCCCATTCGGACTAAAGTATTTAACTTGGTAATCGTAAAATTTAAAACTTTTCAAACACACTTTATTAATCTCAATAATATTTTTCATAACATATACAGTACGGAGTATTTAACAATATTGCGGAAGCGAATTTAATATTGACATATCATAAATCATTTCAAAACTTGTCACATCCATCCTGACAATCTCGCCCCATCTGCCGCCAGGATCACATTAATCTTTCTGTTTACCTGCGTGTAGCAAATAAAACATACTACACGCTCAGCG